AGCGCCAGCTTAACTCTTGAAACATTAAATAAATCACCATAGTTTCAGTAGAAGTACATATAGAATAAATAAATATATTATGAGATAGATAGAAATATAAATGTTACCGCCATACTATTTCTATTGGTACAGAATAGACAACAAACACATGGCTGAACCCTGATTGGATCAGGCGCGAATGAACTCGACATAATAGAGTGTGCAATTCTAAGTGGAGCCAACCATATTAGAGCCTAAATAATAAAATCAAATTTCTTTAGAAATGGCCACCCTATAAGCATTTAAAAAAACCGTTTTATCGTGTTATGAAAATTCAAAATTGTTATTTATTTTACCATAATTCTCATAACATCCTTAGTTTTTGTCTGAGAACAATGTGTTATATCATTTTGGAAATCCCAGATACTAGTCTGAACAGCAAATTTATCAAAACAACTTTTGAACAATTTTTAATCGTTAAGCAAGTCTAGCCTAATAATTATATATTTTAATACCACTTGCACTCAAGCCTAAATAAACCCAAATTTAAAATTAAAGTTTAAAATGTTCATTTTGCATTTTTATTAGTGTTTTGTATGATTTACTATCTCTAAAACCTGGGTACTATTTTTAATTTTTTCAGAAAAAAGTCTATTTTTAAAAATAATGAAATAAATGACATCTTTAGATGTCTGAGGATTCTTAACTTTTCTTAAATTCAATCATATTTTGGTCACATTTTTTGAAATTGTTATAAAGTCGTAAATTTTTCATAATTAGTAAATGTTGACCACAATTTGGAAAGCCTAAATATCATTCCTTATGTTAAAACTGAGAAACCGTAAAAAAAAGTATTCAAACTTTTTTCCTTGAACTGACTGGACGGAATTTAGCTTTGAAAAAAACTTGATAACACAGATTTCTTTAGATATTTACAGGTCGGCCAAGATATATAAGCATATTATAGAAACATTACATCATGCAGAAAACAGGAAAAATGAGATTAAAAATATTTTTAAGCTGCTAAGGTGTAAGTGCGTAGCAGAAAAATCGAAAATTGACTAACTTTCAAACAATGCAATGTTTAATTAATTTTGGAAAAGTGTTTGGAATTTCTAAAATGATATAAATATCATTCCAAGTAAAAAACTGAGGATTTGGCGAAAAATTCAACTCTGAAATTAAAAAATGGCCAAAATCAGGTTTTTTCTGGCTGCACTCGAAATAATGGTTAAAAAAAAAGAATTTGTTCACCCATGAGCGCTATCACTTTGACATAATCACCTTGAAATTATTAAAATAATTATTAAAATAATTATTATTTGATAATTGTTAAAATAATTGTTAAAATAATTATTAACATAATTGTTAAAATAATTGTTAAAATAATTGTTAAAATAATTGTTAAAATAATAGTTAAAATAATTGTTAAAATAATTGTTAAAATAATTGTTAAAATAATTATTAACATAATTAGCAGATCTAAAACTTCCATGTTTGAGAAGCCCTTGACAAATAGAGATGTGTTAAATCTTATAAGTTTCCAAAAATTTTATATTTTACATTTTTCCGACCATTTTTTAGCCATCTCTTTAAACTGATATTTTGAATTTCTAAAATGTACAAATCTAGAGCTACAAAAAAGTACAATTGAGTCGGTGTGGTCTAATAAAAGACAACGGTGAACTGACACTTCACTTCGATCCAGTCTTGAAAATGGTTGCGACTTTCTATTGCAGCCTGGATCCAGTCTTGAAAATGGTTGCGACTTTCTATAGCAGCCTGAATCCAGTCTTGAAAATGGTTGCGACTCTCTATAGCAGCCTGGATCTATGTGGGATAGCTTCTACAGCCTACAAACACTCTGCTATCATTGGAACTAATTTTTTGACGAAGTTTGAGATATTCTATAAAGCCTGAGCTGAAAATTTAGAATGAGATATCCTTAATCCCGTTCACTTAATCTGAGTATTCAATGGACATACTTTTGATTTTCTTCTTAAACCGTTCCTTCTTAGATATAGTAGAGAAAAATTAAAAACTGTTTTTTTTTAAATTAGAGAGTTCCTCCCGTTTCTGTATATTAATCTTAAATGGTGCGTAAAATTTTTAATTTATCGGCTTCAAATATGCGACTCTGATTGGTTGAATTTTATACACTTTTTAAGATAGAAGTGCAAGATTAGGTTAGTCTCTATATTAAGAAAAAAAGAGGATCAAGCATTAATCTCGATATCCACCACTCTAAAGTTTTCTGCTCTGAAATATTAATGAAAATGATGACTGAATCTCTCTAAAAGATCATTCATTGGAAACTAATCTACGAAACCCTATATTTTTCATTAACAAATTTTTATATTTAATCTTTTTAATCGTATATTTTAATCTTAATTGCAAATTGCTTAAGCCTATTACTAAGGGGGGGGGGTTTCCTTTACCTCCTCCCCCCCCCTGTGTTTTTTCTTTAACTCAAAAACAGCTTGCACTATACTCAAACTTCTTCACTAGTTCAACTTTATAATTGAGCATATTTTGCCAAACATTTTATTTTTGATGCATAGGGTATAGGATGGAGGACGGTATAAACCGGCTGGTCGGTTTTTTATTTATTAAGCTACAGACCTTAAATTGTTTTATTTTTAAAGCCCTTGAAAAACAGATGTAGTAACATGTTCATCATGTTAATATTTGTCAAAAACAAAAATAATATTTTTCTTATTTTGGCGGTTTTTTTATTTTCTTATATATCCACCTTAGCACCCTAACTATTAAAGTTAGAGGTCTTTTTTTTCAATGAGCATTCCCAGACTAGTGACATGTATCATATTCACACCCACCTATCTCAACTCTTGGGGCAAAATCATAGCCCCCGTCAATTAGATAAAAATAGTCCAATCCGGCTAGGGTTAAGATAAAATAAATAAATTCTTTATCACGTGTCTATTTTTAAAGATTATTAATTTTTATCGATGTTCAGTACTTGAAACTATTTTTGGATTATTTAGTTTCTCTTTTTCGCTGTAATTGAATGATTAATCAATTCTTAATTGATTTGGTCTCATCATAGATTATTTTTAATTTAATTATTAAAGTTGTATCAAGATTGAACTGTTTAATATGTTTGCATGTTAACGGGCCGGACTGGTATGCCAAGTGTCCTTCCCTTGGATTAAAGTATAGAGTTAGATATCAATGTTGTAGTTTCTTTAAACTGTTAATTTTCATTTGCGGTTTCTGCAAAATGGGCTTGCGGATTTATTTCTTGCTTGTATGAAGCCAAAGAGAAACTAGAAGAAAAAACTTTTTTTTGAGTTAGAAAAACGTAGGTAACTTTCACATTTTTGATCAGATTAAGGTTACTTAAGGCCGGGTATCGTTTTAACTTGGACATTGCTATCTTTACATGAAGGCCCCCCCCCCACACGTAAAACTACAACGAAATACATCCTGTCTCTATTTATAGTTATATTTTATCTCTACCGCAAATTCTATCGAAATTAGCGTACAATACTTTATATCTATATATTTATACTTTAATATTTAAAATATGTGCATATATGTTTATAGTCTGAGTCTGACAAAAAAGTGCGTTAAAGAAAACACGAAAATTCTTCATTTAACAGAGTCTTTGTATCCAATATACGTCAAATCCAATATACGTCAAATCCAATATACGTCAAGTCGGCTGAACCGATTTAGCCCGAATTTTGAATACCAACTCACAACACAAGATCGGACCCCACGAAATGTTATTGCTGGTTGAAGTTAAAAAATTCCAGAAAAATCCGCAAAATTAAAATTTACAATGACAAAGAAAAGATGGCCGCCTGTAAAGCATAACACGCTGAATTTGTTAAGTTAAGAGAGGCTTTAAGCCTCCTCCATGAATGCATAGTAGAGTACATATGTATAGGCAGAAATCTATATGTTCTAGAAATTCAAGGCGCTTCGCGCCCTTCTTTCTTGGCATCTTCTATTTAAATTGTGAACATATTCTTTTTGTTTACATTTTAAAACAAAGAAGAAAAAAATTTTGCGGATTTAAAAAAAAAATTCGCGGATTTTCTAGAATTTAAATTTTTTTACAAAATTAAAAATCTTTAAAACACATTTTTTAATTGTGGTCACGTGATGTCACACACAAAATTTGGGCCCGATCGGTTCAGCCGTTTTGACGTTTATTGGATACAAACAAACAAACAGATAGACAAGCCAAATTTATCTATATGTATAAAGTAATAATCTCTGTTTTTTTGTTTGTATGTCGGATCATAACTCAAGAACTCTTAACCGATTTGCCTCGAATTTTCCTTACAAAACTTTGAAGATCCATTAGAATGTTCTTAGCTAGGTTCTTAGTTGAACAGAATGACTATTGTAAAGAAAACTTTTTTCAAGGTACAGCTGGATTCCCAAGCTAGTTTAACAAATTCCAGTATGGTGAAAACGACAAACTAAATCTAAGGGAGGGGGTTCCAGAGGGCCCCCCTGGAACTCCCAGGGGGGGGGAGCAAGAGGACTGCTTCCCCCCCCTATGTACGCCACTGTTAAATACCGTACTCTTAAAAGTTCGTGATATAAACTGTATCAGTCCAGGTTAAACCAGTTCACGGTTCAATTCTAACTGGACACGATCCACACGGCTACAATCCAGTGACTTATCAACGCCACAACATGGGCACGATCTCGTTACCTATCGGTGTCAATCAATTGATCAATGTCTCAAACCGGACATGATCCACATGGCTACAATCCCGTGACTTATGAACGCTACAACCTGGGCGGGATCTTGTTAGCTTGTCATATATATCACATGAGTAATACAATCATGCTAAGTATTCATTTAGAACGCAGTTCAAATGAATAAATGGGTTTTATGTACAAACATTGGTTATTAATAATGTACAACGTACGGCAAAATATTATTTGTATAAATTCATAATTCAATTTATAATTCAATTATGAATTCAACCTGTATATATTTGATGTTAATAATAATTAGAAATGTTATTTTCAGATCACAATGGGAAGAAAGCCTGAAGCTTCGCGCAAAAATATTTATCAAAATGATTATTCAGAAACTTCAAAACGAATGACAGGTTTTTTATTTAGTAAAAAAAGCACTTTCCTCATAGCAAACTTACAGAGACTCTCCATGCAAAGATGACAATGCCCGATTTACAACGCCGGTACCATATTAAATCTGAATCTGTTAAAAATGGCGTTTTTCTTTCTTAAAATGTGTTTACTTTCTTTTTTATCTCTTAAAGCAAGAAATGCACAAGTCACTTTTTCAGAGAAATCACAAAAGAAATAAAAAGTTTAAGTTAAAAAAACATGGATATCAAACTCGTACTTGATCAGACAACGCTTTAAAGGGAACTGATGTTGTAGATTGGGCAAATTGCTATATTTGCATGTTCACTTGAAATTACACTTATCAGGCCCTTTCATGGTGAAAAGGTAGATTTCTTGTAAAACTGGGAAAAGAAAGGGACAATTAAGAAAACATATCAATTAATGATGTTTGAAATCTATCTATCTATCTATCTATCTTTCTATCTATCTATCTATCTATCTATCTATCTATCTATCTATCTAGGATTCTTCCAACTAATGGGTATATGGCGAGGGAGTGTGGTGAAACTGATTTATCACAATGTTCTTATTTTCCTAGTTTTCTACTTTATGTTGAGGTAAATCCTAGTTTTCTATTATGTTGAGGCCTAGTTTTCTACTTTACGTTGAGGTAAATCCTAGTTTTCTAGTTTATGTTGAGGTAAATCCTAGTTTTCTACTTTATGTTGAGGTAAATCCTAGTTTTCTACTTTATGTTGAGGCCTAGTTTTCTACTTTATGTTGAGGTAAATCCTAGTTTTCTACTTTATGTTGAGGCCTAGTTTTCTACTTTATGTTGAGGTAAATCCTAGTTTTCTATATTATGTTGAGGTAAATCCTAGTTTTCTACTTTATGTTGAGGTAAATCCTAGTTTTCTACTTGAGGTAAATCCTAGTTTTCTACTTTATGTTGAGGTAAATCCTAGTTTACTACTTTATGTTGAGGTAAATCCTAGTTTTCTACTTTATGTTGAGGACATTGCCACATGCGCATGGAGGTCATTTGAAATAACGCGTTCAGTCCCTTTAAAGGTCGTTTTAGATCATTGATAGTCATCAAAGGACAAAGTTTTCGAAAAAAAGTTTACACAATTTATACCTTTTCACAAGTTATATCACATTAAGAAAACCTTGATGTAGTATTTAAGTTGTTTATTTTTACAATTTTTGGAATTAAGATGGCGCGGCTATTAAAGATCAAAACCATCTTGAAGTTTTCTATTAGTACAAAAAATATATTAATTGTGGACAATTTTATATATTTAGCCTTATAATGTACTTTTATATATTTAGCCTTATAATGTACTTTTATATATTTAGCCTTATAATGTACTTTTATATATTTAGCCTTATAATGTACTTTTATATATTTAGCAGTATATAATGTACTTTTATATATTTCAAAACATTTCAAGACTTTGGAGAACTGTAAAGCTCGAAGTGCGAAAGTGTTGATCTCAAATAGATTGTAAGAAAGAAAAAAATATAATCATAATTTTCTGAATAAAAAAAATAAAATCACTTAACATTTACGGGATACTTCATGAATGAAAATAATTGAGTTGATAATTCCTTTCACTGTGTATTTGGGCAAAAAATGTAATAAAAAAAAATAAAAAATGTACTCTTAAAATTTCTCACAAAAATTTCTCCATCTTTAAAGTGGTATCCTCACAAAGCTTTTTTTAATCCAAAATAAATGAGATATCCATGTTTATCTCTAAAAAATGGTTTATTTTTACTTGTGGTTTCTTTACCAAAGTAACTTGCGTATTACTCCTGTAAAAAATCATATGCTAGGCATTACCCGGCGTTGCCAAGGTTTTCAAAATAATTTGAAAAGAAATTAGAACTTGTTTAGCATAAATCATGGGCCACTTAGATTCAGCCTGCTTACAGAACGACTTATACACTTTTAGGACAGGTTCGACTTTGAAGTGTTGCAACGTCGCCTTGGGCTTTGATTTTACCGCTCTAACTCAACAATAATTTTCTGTAGCATTTTAAATTCAAAAATTTTTAATTTTCAAGAAGTAATTGGAAAAATTCTCATTAATTCTTGCTTGAGAGCTTGAGACCAATTTACAGCACAATGGGGCTTTGTCATTACAAATCTGGTCCAGCCGTTTGGCCGATTTTACCAGCTATAACGAAAAAAGATATATGAGCTATATAAGAGCTTAATTATATTATATACTATTATTATATAATGGTTCTTTGAAATTACAACTACACTCCCTTCAATGTCTAGTATATATGGTAGATTTATAAAAGAAGGTAAATCCGAAATATTCTCACCAGTCGCCATTTTAATATAATTTAACGTGGCATTGTGGTCTCTGAAGCGCAGAATATGATTTAACAACATCATGTTCTGAAAGCGTAAGATGCAATTTAACCCTATTCCGCCTAGGATATTTTAGACCAATATAAATCAGATCACTGCAAACTTATAATTGCTTATAATTAATATAAGTGCTTATAATTTTAAAACATTAATGTCTAGGCCTACAAAAAAATATAACCCTAAACTTTAATCCTATCCCTGCAGGATAGGGTTAAGCTTGCAGTATGGTTTATAAATGCATGGAAGCAAAACACTAGATTACTTTATGTATTTAGATTTTTAGTTACAATTTTGTATTGAAAAATAATGAAAATTTTAAAAATACTTTATTCGAATTTTTTTCAGTTTCTTGTATAGAGTTGTACTGTTTGAGGATGATTTTCACAGGTTTGTACAGGGTGTCTTAATAAATATGGCAATAAAAGGAAGTGTTCGCGAAAAATGAAACCGGGGGTTTACAGGCTCCCAAATTGAATTCGATATCGATCGCTACTAATTTTACCATATCTTTTGCGTCTATAAGGAGATAGTGGTAAAAACTACTCAAACCGAAAAGGAATTCAATTCAGGATCCCACTCTACCCACTTTCATTTTTTTGCGTACACTCCCTTTTAGAAAAGAGTAAGAAATCGTCTATGTTACGTTTTACCGTTGTATTACCTAATTGCAATGGTCAAAACAATCTAAGGAAAAACCAACAAATTCTTATCTCTAGCAGACAAAACCTCTACGGATTATAGCTTTCCTATAATGTAGGCATCACTATGATTATTTAAAAAATAATTTTTAAAGACGATATCAAAGTCGTCGCTCAATTAGAATGTTTATTGAAACACCCTGCATATTTTTCAAATTGATATTAATCGACCATAACCTTATCATAATTTTGCATAATCTGAACCAAAAAATATCAACAAACGTTAGTTAATCATTTTTAGTGCAAGTTTGTTTTTATAAATTATGCAAAATTTAATCAAAAATTAATCATCACTCATCAGCTAACGAAGAAATGAAGGCCAGAGTCAATATTTTGGAATATACCATTTTCAAGTTTTAGAAAAAACTTTCTGATTTTTGAAAAAACGAATGAGAAACAACCTTGATACAATGTCAAGCGCAATTTTCTGCAATGTTTGGTCATTTTTTTACGAGCATCATAAACCTGCCGAAGGATTACTGGCAGTTAAACAGTTAAAGATAAAAACATAGAGATCAAATACTACACTATTAAAGGGACTATACAGAGATGTAATTTAGATTTATCAGTAAAATATTAAGATATGTCGGATTGGAAACGGTACTTTTAAAAACCTCTCTCATTGATATTGAGAAAGATTTCCTTGTTTTTCTTTAAAAATGGTTCAAATCTTTAAATCATTAAATCGCCAGAAAACTAGAGTGTGCGCTAGCGTGAAGTGTAAACTCGAAAATCCTGAATATTCTGTGTCCAGCGCAGTTTTGTTAAAATTCGAATGTAAATAAATCCGTCATCCTTGATCAGTCATCAGTATTTCTTAAAATTTTGATTTTAACGACGAAGTTTTTTGTTTTTATAAATTTGATGAACTTGTTTTTGTTTTAATTTTGGACTAAATAGTAAAAAATACGCAGTGACCAGAAACAGGACTTTTGTCCCTTAAATCTCTAATTCCGGCGTTCTGACGATTAAATGCTCAATTTTAAAAGTTTACACTATGGATATCTAGTTGAATAGTGGAAGATAAGCTCTCCAAAACCAAATAGTTTCCCGCTTTATCTTTATTTTATTTAATGATTTTAATATTAGATAACTTATTACTTTTTGTGATAATGAAAATTAACATGTTTATTCATCAATAAATTTTAATATTTGTACTTAGGAACAAATTTCAGGAATTTTAAATCAATTTATTAGTATTCAAATACCTACAGGGGGTCCCAAAAAACATGTAGTGGTGCTAGAGCCTCAAGTTTGGACCAATATTAAAGATTTGGGACATTTTTATATTCACTAAAAGTTTCTAATCGAATAGTGTAAACTGTAGAGCGTTCCTTCCATCATTCACGTAGGAAATTTTATTCATGTTTGTTATAAACAAATTTCTTGTAATAATTTTCAAACCTGGAGAACTATTTTTGATGTTAAAGGGGAAGAATTAATAATTTGATTATATATACAGACTGTTTACCATTTAAAGAGTTGCAATCCTATTTTTCAACGTTATCCCGAAAACTTTCATCCGAGCAAAAGACTTACTTGTTTTTCTATCTGAAAGTTGATAATTTTTAAATAAACAAACACGTTTTCAGAAACAAAAACAGCGATATCACCCTTATTGCATGTTACTCAGATAAGAGTTAAAAAGGTATCGTTGTGAATCAGACAGACCACTTTTTATTTGAGGTGGTCTCCTTGAATTACGTTGATAATCTCTTTAAAAGGAAAAATTACTTTTTTAGGCAAATGTTCGAGATAATCTGCGTATATTCACAAAGATTTAGGAAAAGTCCGTTATCTTGACAAAAAATACTTGTTTTTAGTAACTTTAAAGGACTGTAAAGAAATGAAAGGGGTTATAGGCTGAAAGCTAATCACTTAAGCTCGTGATCGCGACCCATGAAAGTTTTATCTGATGTTCCTGTCTCGAGAAATTGATATAAAATTGTGTCAAATTTATACGAAAATTCATTCATACACAATTTTGTATAGAACTGATAGATTTAAACAGATCATATTCACCAAATACGCAACCAATCCGAAAACGAAGATATCCCAGAGAACCCTAATTGTAACTTAGGTTTTCTCCAATTATTATTTGTAATTTTTTATTTTCATTGTTAATAGATATAATTGATAATATCATTTATTAGTACGTATGACGTCATCAGAACTCCCAAAAATGGTAGTGCAGTATACTGGTCACGTGATGCAGACAGAGCCACGTGACCAGTATACTGCACTCTCGTTGGAGGGAGTTCTGCTGAATATATATGACTTTTCGTATAATTTTGACACAGTTTCATATAAATTTCTCGAGATAGGAACATCAGATATAACTTTCATGGGTCTCGATCAAGAGCTAAAGTGAATAGCTGTCAGCCTATACCCCCTTTCTTTTTTACTTGACAGTCCCTTTAAGTTTCATGTTTTTCAGATTATTATTCTTTTTAAATTTGTGAAAAAATTATTTTAGTTTAATTTTTAGCAAAGTATAATTAAAATAGAAATTTGATTTTAAAAAGGCTGGCTTTCAATTAAAAAAAATAGTCAAACAATAATATTTCCCAAATCTGAAAACAAAACTTTTTTAATGTTTAAAAAGTCTAAACTTTCACTCAATTAATTATTCTCTAAAATTTACCTATTTGGCACAAGTCAATTTGTAAAAAAAAACTGTTCTTACATATTTGTGGCAGAATTTTATACCAAATTTTGTTTAACGGTAGTTTGTTCAGTTCTCATATTCCAATAACCTTCCTGACAGGATTCTATGTCTCACAGGTACTTTTCTTCATTCTTAACAATACTTAGAATTTTACGAACTTTTCTGTTTAAATTGCATGACGTATTTCAAACCAATATTTTCACAAAAATTTGGCCATTTTCACGTTTATTAAATAGCCTATCGAATTGGTAACAACTCTGATCTGGGAATTTTTATGTTGGATACTCATATTTCCGATCGCTTGACCTCGATATCCACTCTTCATGGGCACTTTAAATTTAAGGATTAATGCTTAATCTTAGTTATTCATCCCCTGATCAAACCTCCTTCAACCCCTGACTGGATACTATTACCATGCGGGATATCCAAAAAATAAATATAATAATCTACAGATTAACAAAATATCAAGATCAAGCACCATAAGATTTCCCAGCTCTGGTCGAATTTAAATCACAAATTGACATTGCCTGTGGCTCTTCCTCTCTAAGCTAAAGTTTGTGACCTCCACACTCTATTTTGCCGATTGCCAAGTCCATTAGTACCTGATCCAATCTGGGTTAAGTCATATGAGTGGTCTATTCTGAACCAATAGAAACTGCATGGCGGAATCATCTATCTTTCTATCTATCTCATTATCCAATTAGAGATAAATCCATATTGTAGCGCTGTTCATTAAAAGGAAAAATTTCTTCTTCTGAAACTATAGTGTCCAAGATCCTCTAATTCTTATTTTATGTCTATAACGCCTTAAAAAGCTGTTCTATTTAGTGTTATTTTCTAAATTAAAAACTTCTTAATAGCTTGTTATTTGTTGTGTAGAGGCGTGTGGGGGGAGGACACCATTAAATCATATTTTTGTTGCGGGCGTAGGGGGGCACCATCAATTTACAGTACTATGTAGGGGATAGGCAGCAATCCTGAAGATTAGGAATGCATGAAGAAAACAAACTAACATCTCACGCGGATTTAACAGTGCTTGGTCCTTGTCTCACCAAGTTCTGACTTGCTATCACAATTTGGTCAATTCAACATCCAATTTTCGTCTTTTCTCTTGTATACAGTGAAAACCAGAAAACTCTGGAATAGGAAGTCGACTTTTGAACTTAATTTATGACTTTAAAAAGGTTAATGAGCTTGAGACACAGCAATTGTGCAGTGTAAACAGATCCATTTCACTTAATAAGTGATTTAGTAAATAATTAGTAAAGCTATTTGCTTTATAACAACATCAAATGTAATTTATTATAGCTGTAATCTCGTCTTCATATTCTACAGTTTCCTGGTTATCACTGTACTGTTTTGTATGCATATGCGTTGTAAATGAAAAAGAATATGAAGACAGCTCTTGTAAGTTTAGAGATTGTTCAATTATACACCGAAAGGCAATTAAATTCCTATGGAAGAAACAGGACGCATCTCACCCTGGTGAGTCCTGTGTCCAAATTTAATGAATTTAAGTCGCGTGTAAAAAAATCTCCAAAAACCGGTTTGAATTGAGCGCCGGCTTAAATCTTGATAAATTAAATACAATTTTAAGTGGAACCAACTATATTTGAGACTCAATTTCTTTAAATTCGGCGTCTGGTTGACGTTGATAACACAAGTTAAACTAAAGTAAATTTCAAACATTTAGAATCATATAGATTTTAAATCCTGGCTCTTTTTTACATATTAGCTATTGAAAAAAAAATGTTTTGTATTTCTTTTATGTACCCGGATAAAGTAAATGAGTCATTGCCCCAAACTCTGATATCTCTATATCTTCTAAACCCAATGTTGTTGACCTTAAATATTTCAAACTATAGTTAGATCAAATATTCTAAGTTTGAAATATCAAAGGTTTACCTCATCAGGTTACAAAGATATAGGGATTCGAAAAATTGAGCTTGTGGCAAAAACTCAAATACTTTATTCCTCTTATAATTGTACGGAAGAGCAAAACACAAGAGGAGCTGCGAGGTCACAAAGTATTACCAGTCATGTCAGAAACAATTTGCATTGACGATTAGTTTGTATTGTTTAGGTTGTTTCAAGATGGTGGGGGATGTTTACATGTCTACCCTACCCGGATAGAATAGCATTAAAACTAATCAGGAAACATTATAAATTTTTAAAAAATTATATTCTTAATAATGTTCAGTAACAGCCCCCCCCCCCCCTCATGCCCCCGTCGTTTTTTAAAAAGTCAACCTTCCATAACTTTCTACCTATCTTAAAGAGCTGTTAGCATAATTTCAAGTGTCCCTCCATGCAGATATAGCAATGTCCGATTTACAACGGTACCCTTGAAACCTTTATCCAAAGATAATGTGGAAGATATTGTCGTTTTCGAACTCTAAAAGAGTTTATTTCCGTAAGTTTCTTCATTGCTTTTTATAAGCAAAAAAATCTCTAGTCACTCTCGCAGAGAAACCGCAAATGAAAATAAACAGTTTAAAGAAAAAAAATATTGATAAATTATTCATACTTGATGAGTCAAAGCTCTCAAAGGTTCTGTTGTTTTGTACGGAGGGTCACATGAAATTCAGCTTACAGTCCCTTTAATCTTACCTTTAATATATTAATCTTGTATTATTATTATTATTATTATTATTATTATTATTATTATTATTATTATTATTATTATTATTTATTATTGTTATTATTATTATGAATTTAATATTTCAGGAAAATCAGGAGTTTAAGAAGAATTTACGCCTGACTATTATGAGATATGTTAATTTATCTACAATACTAGTTTATAGACTAGTTTCACATAAGGTTATTTAATTCATCAAATCAATAATTCAAACTATGAATCAATTAAACAAATCATCTATCAATCATTAACACCATGAATCACCACATAATAGATATAGATTAGTTGATTAACCAATTAACTGATATATAAATCATTTTATCAATTAATGAATAAATTGACAGATCAACTAATATATAAATCAATTAATCAATTGATAAATATATCAACCACTCAACTAATAAATAATTCAATTAATAAATTGATCAATATATTAACATATCAACTAATAAATAATTCAATTAATAAATTGATCAATATATTAAATATATCAACTAATTAATAAATCAATTGATCAATAATTTAACCAACCAAATAATCAATTGATAAATTGATCAATAGATTGACTAATCAATAAATCAATTTATCAAAATGTTGTGTTAGATCTGTACATTTCAGCTGTTTTGACGTTTATTGGGCACAAACAAACAGACAGACAGACAAAGTATGGATGTATAATGGAAAAGACGTACGTTAATAGTGCTTTCGTAAAATCCATAACGGTTTAGTAAAAGAAAGGAATGTAGACACGGAAGTGAATTCCTCCCTTCATCTTTATGATTCTATTATATTTCGTGTAAATATCAAATATGTCAAATTGAATTTGATATTTTCAAATATAAAGTATATATTTTTAACCAGATTATTTGTTAGAAATTAGAAATTGTATTTATGAAAAATCCACAATAATTGCTGCTGAAGAATGTCACACGTGACACACGAAACACCATGTCCAGCAATATCAATAAATATATATATACAGGTGTTGGATAGATTCCCAACAATGGATTCTCTTGTAGAAAGTAAACTTCTCCTTCCTCACGAAGCAGAAAGGTTGGAAAAGGTAAATTTTTGAAAGAGTGGAATTTGAAAGTATTATTTCGGCGACCGATATATCTACTTGATGAGAATTGACTTGGGAAAAGCGTTTGATTAGTAAGAAAAAAATTCTTCAAAGTTAAAATATAAAAATTCAGTATTAAAAGTTAGTAAAAGAAAGAATTTTTTTTAATTGAATACTTTTCTAGATAGAATTAGGACGATATCTATCTTATGGTGGCTCATATAACAGTTTAATGGATAATACTGGTTATTATTGGATCTGCCACTCTATGAATAAATATACATATATATATAGTGAAGGAGAAAATGTAAATCTTTTGCCCCTACCTCCATCTTATTAATATATATTTCAGGTTGATCCAGGGGAAGAAACATTTGGGCCAAATGTGAAAAGATATATTTTTTGAATGTTTATATTTTTCAATTTAAGTCAGCAACCGTCTACATACTTTTATTTTGAATAGTTAATATTTCAGGTTGATCAGAGGACTCCTCATGAATCTATTTGGATTCCAATACTAAACATATATTTCAGGTTGATCAGAGGACTCCTCATGATTCTAACAGGACTCTAATACTAAACATATATTTCAGGCTGATCAGAGGACTCCTCATGATTCTAACAGGACTCCAATACTAAACATATATTTCAGGTTGATCAGAGGACTCCTCATGAATCTACTTGGACTCCAATACTTTGGGCGCTTAAACTCCTTCAACGGGCTAAAGAACAAGGCAAGGTAATCCATCTATCTATCTATCTGTCGATCTATCTATCTATCTATCTGTCTGTCTATCTATCTATCTGTCTGTCTATCTTTTATATTTGTGTTTTTTTTTTAATTCTTTCTAATTCTGCGATGTACTACATTGTTTCCCCATATATGTAGTACATCGCAAAATTAGAAAGAATTTTAAAAAATGTGTTTTTTTTTGTTTCTTTAAATTCTTTTTGATGTTACCATTTTCACTACGTATCTGTATTCTTAATATTTTTGCTTCTGCAATGCCTATTTACCTTTTTACTTTTTCTTCTGTGTTTTTTGTTTGTTTTGTTTTTTACTTCTTTTTAGTACTACAATGCATATATTAAATCCTTTTGTTATTTATCTGTGTTTTGTTTTATTGTTTGAACTTTTTTTAAATACTAAAATATGCTACCATTTTTCATATTTTTCCTAGCATTTTTTAAATATTACAATATACTACCATTTTTCATATTTTTCCTGTTATTTTTTAAATACTACAATATACTACCCATTTTTCCTATATTTTTCCTAGTATTTTTTAAATACTACAATAAACTACCCATTTTTCATATTTTTCGCTGATTTTCTTATTCATTTTCATAATTTTCAATGCTTTGAACAACAATATCTTTCTATTCTTTCAATGTATTTGTGTTTTTAAATAAGTATTCATTTTTACTTTTATTAATATCTTATATTACATTCTATTTGTAATGAATTAGTATCATTTCTCTTATTGATATAATCTTATATTCTTCATTAAAACATTTTTTTATCTTTTTATTCATTTCCATTAAAGGGACTGTAAACGTAATTTAAAGTAAGATTGCATTTATAAAAAAGTGGCATGTCAGATTCCCAATGTCAGACTTAAAGGGAGTGACCGGCAATATATTTTTTAGGATTCATTCTAGGCATAAAAAACGTTTTAATGATATATAATTACTAAGTTTGAGCAACATACAAAATTATTCATTTGGCTGGTTACGTTTTGAGTATTGATTTTTTTAGATTATTAAATAACGACGACGAAAAATGTATCAAAATTTTACAGTAAACTAATTAGATGTTTATGAACATATTTCTCAATAGAAATTTGTCAATAAGTTAATGCTAGAATTAATTATTTCTTTTTCATCATTATATTGAATTTCTTATTCTTTACGAATTTGTTCGCAGATTTCTACAAATTTCTCAAATGTCGTCTTTTCAATAAAAATTCCATCCAATTAGTTTACTATATAATTTTTACTTTATTTTTCGTCGTCGTTATTTAATAATTTTAAAAAACCGATTCATGATTTTGAACATCGACTATGTGGTCAAACTCAGTAATTATATGCATCGTGGAAACGTTTTATATCTCTCAAATGAATCCTGACAATTTACATTTGTGGTTTCTTTACAGATTTTTTGCTTCAGCGACAACGGAGAAATTATCAGAGTTAATAATTTGTCAAGCCAAAAAACCATATTATTTATAGAGTTAAGGTTTTAAGGTTACTATTGTAAATCTTTTAAATGAAGGTTAAATAAAAATTTCAACTACAGTCCCTTTAATCGATTTATTACAACTAAGTCCCTTTAATCAATATATTACAACTACAGTCCCTTTAATTGATATATTACAACTACAGTCCCTTTAATCAATATATTTTAACTACAGTCCCTTTAATGGGTATATTTCAACTACAGTCCCTTTAATCGATATATTACAAACACAGTCCCTTTAATCGATATATTTCAACCACAGTCCCTCTAATCGATATATTACAACTACAGTCCCTTTAATCGATATATTTCAACTACAGTCCTTTTAATGGATATATTTCAACTACAGTCCCTTTAATGGATATATTACAACTACAGTCCCTTTAACCGATATATTACAACTACAGTCCCTTTAATGGATATATTTCAACTACAGTCCCTTTAATCGATATATTTCAACTACAGTCCCTTTAATCAATATATTTCAACTACAGTCCCTTTAATGGATATATTACAACTACAGTCCCTTTAATGGATATATTACAACTACAGTCCCCTTAATGGATATATTTCAACTACAGTCCCTTTAATCAATATATTTCAACTACAGTCTCTTTAATTGATATATTTCAACTACAGTCCCTTTAATGGATATATTACAACTACAGTTCCTTTAACCGATATATTACAACTACAGTCCCTTTAATGGATATATTACAACTACAGTCCCTTTAATGGATATATTTCAACTACAGTCCCTTTAATGGATATATTTTCTAGTTTGTATGTGAGCCTCCTGTTTATGCAAACTTGGTTTCAAGTTTCGAGTATATAGAGACTTGCAATAGGAACATTCAAAATTCAAAATTATATTCAGAAATTAACTTTCCTCAATGATTTGTGTTTCCAGCTCAGAGAATTTAAAACTTTAGTAGAATTTGCAGATATATTGGCCAACCACTAGCTGAAATGCCCAGCGTTGCCCGTGGAATAAAAAAATTTGATTTTGAAAAAAAATTTACTTCAAAAAAAATTTCCTTTTTTGCAGAACATTTTTTAGCCAATGTTACTTCCAGGGTAACCATGGGGGAAAATCCAGCATTGGTCCAGCCGTTTGGCAAGCTATAGCTAACACATATATATCACACTCCTCTGGTCGCTTTAGTAATTGTAAATTGGCGGTGCAGTCCAAATTATGTATTAATTATTATGTATTATAATATTGAAGTGTGAACTAGGAGTATATTAAACTATATATATATATAATATTGAAGTGTGAACTAGGAGTATATTAAACTATATATATATATAATATTGAAGTGTAAACTAGGAGTATATTAAACTATATATATATATAATATTGAAGTGTGAACTAGGAGTATATTAAACTATGGCTGGGTAGAATTCCCTCTTGCCTATACCCAGGTGAGTTGTATTATAAAAATTAGACAATGTCTTAATACATTTTTATATGACAAATCAGATCTCTATTAGACCCACTGACGGTTGCTGATTTTACCTTTTTAATATTTTAGAAAGCTAAGAACAAAAAATTTGAGTTTTGCGACAAACTTAGATTTCCTAATCTCTATATATCTTTACAACCCAATGTTGTAGACCTTTGATAATTCAAAATATGAATACTGTAAGATCAAATAATATAAGCTGGAAATACCAAAGGTTTACACCATCTGGTTGCAAAAGTATGGAGCTTAGAAATTTTAAGTTCATTTTACGAGAGAAAATTTTAATATTTTTGGCACATACTTCTTTATGGTGAATTTGTGTTTTTATAGCTTTTTTATGACAGTTTTTAAATGGCAAGATAAAGGAATTGAATCTTTGTCACAAATCTAAATTTTCTAATCCCTATATCTTAGCAACTTGATGGTGCAAACCTTTGATATTTCAAACTTAGATTATTTGATCTACCATAATTCATAGTTTGAAATATCTAAGCTATATAGCATTGGGTTGCAAAGATATAGTGATTAGAATATCTGAGTTTCTGGCAATGACTCAAATTCTTTGTTTTTAAATGAAAGTTTTGTGTTTTTATACAAATGTTTGAGATTTTTTAAAATTCGATTATATTCTGTCATTTTTATAAAAAAGCTGAATACTTAAATTTTCTAATCTTATATTTTTGAAATTTTGATGTAATACAGTTGGATAGATATTTTATTTTGAAAAAATTAATTCTTTAAATTCAAACAATTTTCATTTTACATAATCAGATTTTAGAGGGATATAGGGATCAGAAAATTAGAGTATGAGGCAAAAGGTTCAGTCAAGACAAATATATTTATATTTATATATTTGAGGTTGCGACAGGTTCTGTTTATCTCTACTTTCTAGCAGCACTGTTTGGTAGACAGTATCTTATACCTAGTGGAGAACATCGGTATTTTGTTACAAATTTTCATTGAAAGGAATTGAGTCTTTGTCGCAAACTTTCTAATCCCTACATTCTTGACATAGACCTTGGATATTTTAAACTATAATTTCTTGCTACCCAATAACATATTTCAAACTATAAATTCAGTTAGATCTAACAATCTAATTGTAAGTAAGTAAGTAAGTAAGTAAGTAAGTAATATTTATTACACAATAACATGACAAGTTAACATATTAAATTTACAATGTGCAGGTTTCCGATTTACAACGTAAATGTAATGTAAAAGTTGTAATCTCTGTTTGTTTGTTTGTCCGATCATAATACAGAACCCCCTGGACCAGTTTGCCTCAATATTTGATTGGGGAACTCGGGAGACCCACGAAAATGTTCTCAGCTTGGTTTTGAAATTCTGAGTTTAGTGGGTCGACTTTAATAGCAAAAATTTAGTTTCCCGGTAAAATCGTTCAAGTGCGGGTAAACGGCGGGGGTAACATTCAGTAACCTTGGCAGCGCTGGGTTCCCAAGCTAGTAACTAATATAACATCTATGGTAATGGGTAATATATGGAGATTAGAAAATTTGAGTTTGTGGCAAAAACTCAATTCTTTTGTAATTTACCTTTTTTTAAATACTGTATGAAGAAACAGCAACATTTTGTCGTAACAACTAACTTTTCCAGTCAATAATTTCAAGAAGAAATATTCGTAAAATTATGCTTTATGTAATATTACCTTTTTATGTGACTTTTTGTTATTCTACCTTTAGTTATTATACCTTTCGTTATTCTACCTTTTGTTATTATACCTTTCGTTATTCTACCTTTTGTTATTCTACCTAATCCCGTCTATAAACACATCTCTGATTACGGATAATGTTATTTAGAATCAAACTATTAAATTGTTGATAAAAAAAAAAAATCAAAATAGTTTTCAACAATCATCTTCAATTTTGATGATACAAAGTAGTAAAGTACAAAGGAGTAAAATACAAGAGTACAGTACAGTATAGGACAAAAGAGAATAGGAATAAGGAAGAAAGGACAAAGGAGTAAATAACAAAGGAGTATAGGACAAAGGAGTATAGGACAAAGGAGTATATGACAAAGTATAGGACAATGGATTATAAGACTAAGGTGTATAGGACAAAGGAGTACAGGACAAAGAAGTATAGGACAAAGGAGGACAGAACAACGGAGTATAGAACAAAAGAGTATAGGACAAAGAAGTATAGGACAAAGAAGTATAGGACAAAGGAGTATATCACAAAGGAGTATAGGACAAAGGAGCATAGTACAAAGGAGTATAGGACAAAGGAGTATAGGACAAAGGATTATAGGACAAAGGAGTATAGGACAAAGGAGTATAGGACAAAGGAGTTTACGACAAAGAGAATAGGTCACAGCTGAGTGAAAACAAATGAGTAAAGGACAAATGAGTTTTGGACTAAGGAGGAAAGGACAAAGTAAGACAAGAAAAGTAGAAAGGGACAAAGAAGTTCATGAAAAAAAAGAGGACAGGACCAAGGAGGACAGGACAAAGGAGGACAGGACTAAGGAGTATGGGACAAAGGACTATAGGACGAAGGAGTATAGGACAAAGTAGTAAAAGACAAAAATACTTAGTGATAAAAATTAATATTTATTCACTGAGCCTACACAAACACTTTGTGAGAAAGCTTTCACGATTAATTTTATCATCATTTCTAAATATGAAGTTTTAAGTAAAAACTTTCACGTCATCTTATTCTATTGAATCAAATTTTTTTTCATTTTCCTAATAGATTTAGTTTTTTAGTGATAATTCTACATTTCCTGCTTTGTCTGTTTCTTATTCAAATGATCAACCCTTCAGTTATCATACTCCAGATTTTATAGGTGGGTGTAATATCTTGGTTATGGGGGGGGGGATAACCAAGGAGTATTGAATACAATGGAGAAAGGATCAACCCGGCCCGCCAAGGGAATATGAATAAAGGGATGGGAAATGACGCTGGTCTGGCATGAGAATCAATCGCACTACTATGCAGACGAGTTCGTTATCACACATGCACAATCTTTTGGTACAGACACACAACATAACTACAGTCAAGGAAATTGCAGAACAATGTCGTCAATTATAATTAAGCTTGAATAACAAGTAGTTTATTGTAAACTTTAATCGAATTATATTCTTTGTATGAAAATTTTGGCTTATAGTGTTGACTTAAATATTTAAATAATATATTACATGTATCTTGAACTCATTTTAAAAACATTTAAGAATAAATAAATGTACTCTCCTAAACTGTACAAATACCGAGATTCTTATGTACTCTAAATACCTACAGAACAACCCTTCGGTTCGTTATCACTTACACACATTCTTTTGGAACAGACACACACATACATGACGTTTCCGCCCCCTGGGCCCGCCCTACCATATGATTATAAATGCTTTGCAGCTAGACGGTACTCCATTTAAATAAGAAATATGCTTTCCTTAACTGTCTGATGTACAAATACCGCGTACAATGCACGCCGTTCATGTATTCAGAATAGATATATTACACTGGGGAAAAAGTAGGCTGAATAACGCCAGACAAACACATTTTTTTGGGATGGAAAATATTGGCGTTACAAACGTATTTTTTTATCATATAAAAATCGGTTTTATTTGATATGGTTAAGTAAAATAACACATTAAAAGAATTAAAGACGACATTTAAAAGCTCTTTTTTAAATGGGGTACCGTCTGCAAAGCATGCATGTATAAACCATATGGTTGGCGGGCCGGGTCGATCCTTTCTTCATTATATTCCGTACTCCTTGGGGATAGCACACTTATTGGAAATGAAAGTTTTAGAAAAATTAAAGAAAAAAAATCATCATTCTTGAAAAAACAAATTAGCAAATTAGTAAGTAAGTAAATACGTAAATAATTTGTTTGATAACATCTTACATCTTGTTTTATCATCAAAGTATTGTATTCAACGTTAAAAAATCTCATCTTTGTTTTTCTTACTTCCCAGAAATGAAAAACATGCACACACGCTTTTGGAGATTTTAGTTTTTTGTTGTCTTCAACTAGTGTTGAGGAAATTAACACTCTTTTAGTTAAATATTTGATATTTGAAAATTTAACATTGAAATAAACAGATGTCTTTGATCTCCTGTTTTATTTGAAAATGCATTAAAGTATTCGATTTTCTAATATTTTGATATGCCGAGCTGGGACCTTTTGAAATGGTGGATATCGGAATTAATTCTTAATCTACTCTTTTTCCTAATCTCCAGATTAAATAATGCTTGTTCTCCTCTTGTTATTAATCTCCAGATTAATTAACCGATCAGGATTAAGGATATCCCATTCAAAAGTTCCCAGCCCAGTTCTTTTATTTTTATATTTAATATTTGTATTTTTTCATATTTTCATCTATCTATCTATATAATTTGCTTGTCTGTCTGTCTGTTTTTTGTCTGTCCGAGTGTATCCAATAAACGTCAAAACGGCAGAACCGATCGGGCCCAAATTGTGCGTTGCACCTCAAATGTGCCCAGGGAAGGTTTATTCAACATCAAAATTGGAAAATAGTTGGAATTTTTTTAATGCACCAAATCGAAAAGAGTATCTGCTAAAATTGGAAAATGTTTTTAAATGGCCGACTTTCAGAATAAAAGTTAAAAACTAAAACTATTTACAGGGCCGGGGGAGCGAAGCACCCTAAAAGCCTATTATTCTGTTATTTCTATTCTATATTTCTATTATTCTGTTATTTCTATTCTTCTATATTTTATTTTGCACTCTAATATTTTTTTTTACATGTAAACATTTTTTTATTTTATAATTTTATAATTTTTACATTTTTTTATATTTTTGTTTTTCTAGTTCCCTTCTTCACAATTATAGAGTTTATAAGTTACATGGGGTGGATTAAGGTAATTATTCAACAAAATAACAACTCCATTTTTTAGAAAGTAATTTTTTAAAAATATAACTATTGAATTCAAAATAAGTGCCATTTTGAACTAAATGTAATGCTTTAGATGGAGGGTCACTTGAAATTATGTGGCAGTCCCTTAAAGGACAATATATTTTGTATGGCCTATTCCCTTATTTTACTTTTTTATTTATTTTATCATTTACAAAGTTTAAAGTTTAAAAAGTTAAACTCTTTTTAAGATCCTTGTCAACAATTTGGGCTTCTTTTGAAAATGTTTTTTAAACAAATAGATACTGGTGACAACCAACTTAAATTATCTTTTGTTTTTTTCTTAGGTTGCAGAGACCTTGCTAAACCCTTTTGGGGACGATGATGAAGATTTTGAAATCAATTATTTAATTGATAGAAACCTGCAGGTCAAATAAAATAAATAAATAAAGCAAACAAAAATATTTAGAAAACAAATAAAATTTTTTAGCCTATGTCACCCCCAGACAACCCATTAGTGTCCACAAAAATTTCAGCCCATTCGGTCCAACCGTTTGGCTGACCAGAGGGAACATATATACGAATGTCTTGTTTTATTATATGGACTAGCTAAAATGCCCGGCGATGCCCGTGGAATAACAAAAGAAAAAAGACAATTTTAAATTTTTTTTAGTCTATGTCACCCCTGGGCTACCCATTAGTGTCCACAAAAAATGTCAGCCCATATGGTCCTGCCGTTTGGTCGGCTAATAGGGAACATATATACGAATGTTTTTAAATTTTAATATAAAACTGGAAAAAAATATTTTCTTATGCTGGTGAGTAAAATCTAAACTAGAGGTCACAAAGGCGCACCAGTAACGTCGCATGACGTGTTATAGGTTTCCTACATGATAGTTGATGAGGCGGATGGAGAAATGGAAATGGCGGAAGATCCATTTCTTGAGGCGGGTATCTCGATCCCAGAGGAACTGCCGTATAAGGATAGTAGGTAATTAAAACTGATCTAAGCTGAGCTGAAAACTTTAAAATATCGATATCGAGATCAACGCTTGATCCTCTCTTTTTGCCAAACTCCAGACTAATTTAGTCTTTGGATTAAGGATTTGAGACTTTGTCACAAATTCAATTTTTGTAATCCTTATATCTTTGCAACCTTTGATATTTCACACTTACATTTTTTTATCTAACAGCGTTCATAGTTTGAAATATTAAAGGTCTACGACATTGGTTTGCCATAAAGTTGAAATTAGAAAATCAGAGTTTGTGACAAAAACTCAATTCCTTTCTACAGAATAGAGATGCACTCTTTAACTTTTTAAAAAACAGGTTTTTATTTTCCCGCAGTTGTGGTGTCATATCAACTGGGCTAATGATCGATTGAAGGAACGTAAGTTTTAGATTAAAGTTTATTTAGACTAACATTTAAAAGGACTATAGTCCTTAAACATGATAAAAGGTTTTTTAGTACATATAAAATGATTAAATTTATATTTGTTTTAATCCTCTAAAATTCGGCTTGTGAACAGCTGACTTTAGTTTAATCGGATAATTAGTCCAATCGATATAGCATCGTTTCTGTATTTGTGATCAAACGTATCCTTATTACATGAAGTAGGAAATGGTTAAAAAACTAAATATTTATATTTCCTGGTGCTTGGTGTTAAAACATTATTACATTATATTACATATTATTACAATTTAAGTTTGTAGCGAGAACATCATAAAATGTTGCGATTGTAATTTAACTGCAGGAAAATGACGGATATTTAAGAATTTTATCTTTACAAAAACGTTTCAGAGTTTCATGAGAACTGATTTTGAAATTGTTGTTTTTAATGCAAAGTAAAATATTTTTAAAAATGTGATATCTAGGATCTATCCAAAGAGAGCGGATTAAAAATAAATTTATAAGTTTCCACAGTGGATATTCAGATTAAGCGATCAGGATTAATGATATCCAAATCTAAAGTTTCCAGCTCAGAAAACATTAGAATTGGAAACTTATAATACTAATCGCTTAATCTGAATATCCACTGTGGAAACTTTTGATTTCTTCTTAATCCGCACTTTTACCCTCTTTTTCAATATTCCTACTAAAGATTCAGACCAATTAGAATTTTCTCATTAAATTCCAATTTCCCGCTTCTTATGGGCTTTTCCAGATTCTGCATTTACCACTCTGAATGGTTGAATTTTATAAACTTTCCTGAAAACAAACTAAAAATTAAAGAGGGGAGATCAAGCATTGATCTCGATATCCACAATTTTAAAGTTTTGCTTTGGAGACCCATAATCTCGAGAACTTTTCAGTTTTTCCTGCAGGGTACGATTATCAATGGGTATTGAATAAAGAATAAATTGATCTGCAGATTAACAAAAGATTAAGATCAAACATTAATCTCAATATCCACAGTACAAAATTTCCAACCTCGGGTCGAACAAGGTCTATAATAAAAATGCTTACATGTACGGAGTGGTAGACGGCTAGTTTATAAAACGAAGGAATTTTTATGAACAAACGAAAACGAACGAAAAAAAACTAACAATTAAAACGTTTGATCGTTCATAAACGAACTTGAAAAAACAAAAGGTTTTTTTACTGAACGAACAAATTTTGCAAAAGATTTTGAAAAAACTTCAGGTTTTTTACTGAACGAGCGATTTTTAAACAAACTTTTATAATTTCGTTTTTTTGTAGGTTTCTTTTGAACGAACGATTTTAATGAGCACGATTTTACTGGATGATCGTCTCTATAATTTTTCAACCTGATGTTGTACACCTTCAATATTTAGTTGATCTAATAGAATTCCTAGTTTAAAATATCTAAGGTCTACGACATCGTTTTGAAAATATATATTAATTAATAAATTTGAGTTTGTGGCAAAACTCCCTCCTTTCTGAATTTTTTTTTATTTCAGGAGGAATTCAATTCGAAGTAGTTTAGGGAAAAAATTCTCAACAACCTTTCTCCCTTCGTCGAAGGTAAACTAAGATATGCGTTATTGAATATGTAAATTGTAAAAGGTTGTTTAATTTAGCGGATAAATTTACAAATTATCAATATTTGTAATTTAATAAAAAATGAGGAAAAATCCGTGAAAAATTGGTAAAATCTAAGTTTTTAAAAGATTTGAATGGTTGTTAAGATGAGCATAAAAAAATTGGGATTTCAACCAAATACATATCAATTTAGATAGTTCAGTTATGGATGTAGTTCATAAACATGATTCTATTAATTTATGTTACCCTCTGTTCAAACCTTTCGCGAGTAATCTTTCTTTTCTTTATACCTCTTTTCCCTACTTTATTTCCTTTATCCTCACTTATCATTAATATTATGTTTTAAAAGTATATTTGTAAGAACTTGAGGGGGGTCGACACTAGGATGTTAGATAGGTAGGTTGGTTGATTGTTTAATTGGTTTGTTGGTTTGGGTTCGTTGGTTAGGTTGGTTAGGCTCCTCAACTCGGACACAGTTGTATCTAATAATCATTTAATTGATATATTTCAAACCTGTAATAAAATACAGGCAGATTAAACATAAATGACAATATTTTAAAGTAATTAAATGTTTGATAAAATAACTAACTAGTTTTTCGTGTCGAAGTGAAAAAGGAGTGTTTAAAGGTTTGAGGGTTAGGTGGTTTAAAACATTTGTAAATACTTCTGAAAATATAAACCCGGTTGTTTAAGTTGAGTTTACTATGAAATGCAAAGTTATTTATGGATTTGATCTTTCACTTAGTAAAACTTTTCACTGTTTATTGTTTCTTTTGTCGGAGAGTACAGATTAATTTGAGCGGAGACTGGATTTGGTTTGGTGTTTTTCTCCGAGAGGATTTTGGTAAAGTCGACTTACCCCCCTTTCAGAAGATGTATTAACTGTCAACAATATTGTATATAGTGTACAATGTACATCCATTTATCTACAAAACTCATTCGATTATAATGGGTGAACCAATTAAACAACCTACTCTGGTTAGGCGGGTCCAAATTGTGAATATTTAGTTGTATTATCTCGCACAGTTATAATAACATTGCAAGATCTGATTTAAAAATCTATGAGAATTTTGCCAATATCTTCTAAAATCAAAATCTAAAAACAAGTGCTTTATATTTTAATAAAGAACATATCTAGGGCTACAAAAAAGTATAAGTAAGTTAGTGACGTTAATCAAGGGACGAGGTGTTCCAATATTGAAAGTCGATCCTGTCTTGAAAACTGATCCAACTTTTCATAGCAATCTGGATCTATGTGGTCGTTCTTTGTAGTTGACTAAAAATATTAAAATATGAAATATTAATAAAAAAAATCACGACCCTACCCCCTCCCACCTTCCAGTCTACAGAGACTACAGATGCATTATCAACTTACATCTACTTATTATACAGTTCATGGTGTCCCAATAAACTATAATGCAGTAAGTGGTGTCCCAATAAACTAGTATACAGTACATGGTGTCCCAATAAACTAGTATACAGTACATGGTGTCCCAATAAACCATGTTACAGTACATGGTGTCCCAATATACTATTATACAGTACATAGTGTCCCAATATACTATTATACAGTACATAGTGTCCCAATATACTATTATACAGTACATTGTGTCCCAATATACTATTATACAGTACATGGTGTCCCAATATACTATGTTACAGTACATTGTGTCCCATTAAACATCGGAATTGTGTTATGTCTATGAGATTGTCTTTGTAAATAATTTTGAATTTATTATACTAGGCTTTTTGAGCACTTCGCGCCCCTTTCCTAGTAATTTTTATCTTTTAACTGTTGATTTTTTACCTGCCATTTTTCATTGTAAACTGCAACAAGTATAAAATATTGTGGATAATTCTGCTTTAATTGGTCAATTTTCAAAACTCGTTAAGTACGGCATTTCTATTAGACACAATCTTTCAATTTCGACCAGCCACAGACCTTCCCTGGATCATGTGAGTTGGTACAAAAATATGTTGAAAGATTCAACCGTTTTGACGTTTAACGGATTCAAACAGACAAAGAAACAGACAGACAATTCCTGCTGTATCTTAAATATTGATTTAAAATGGGATATTTAGAAAAATTTTATTTTATTTAATAAATTCAAAATAAGAAAATTTTTATTATTTGGGAATTTAAATTATTAATATTATGATGGGGTTGAATGTAAATTATAATTAGATTTTTAATTATTTTGAATTATTTTCTAATAAAAGACGACATTTTTAGATTAGCGCGGGCAAAGACGACATGGAGGTTCCAAACACTGGGAGTTTGTACAGAAAGGTAAATTAAAAACAATTTTTAATAATTACACGTTATACAGTGATAACCAGAAAACTCTGTAATAGGGAGACGGCTTTTAGACTCAAAGTATGCCATAGTACAATGAACATAAGACACTTATCATTATTAATTTTTTTAAAAAGAAATATGTAAACTGAACAAGAAATATTAGTAGATATTCTCATTTTTAGTTTTTCATTTTAACTTTGTTTTGTAGCACTTTCTTAACTTTGTTTTGTGTAGCACTTTCTTAACTCTGTTTAGAAACACTTTCTTAATTTTGTTGAGTAGCAGTTTCTTAACTTTGTTTATTAGCACTTTCTTAACTTTGTTGAGTAGCAGTTTCTTAACTTTGTTTAGTAACACTTTCTTAACTTTGTTTTGTAGCACTTTCTTAACTTTGTTTAGTAGCACTTTCTTAGATTTATTTTAACTTTGTTTAGTAGCACTTTCTTAGCTTTATTTTAACTTTGTTTAGTAGCACTTTCTTAACTTTGTTTTGTAGCACTTTCTTAACTTTGTTTAGTAGCACTTTCTTAACTTTCTTTCGTAGCACTTACTTAGCTTTATTTTAATTTTGTTTAGTAGCACTTTCTTAACTTTATTTTAACTTTGTTTAGTAGCACTTTCTAAACTTTATTTTAACTTTGTTTAGTAGCACCTTCTTAACTTCATTTTACCTTTTTTTAATAGCACTTTCTTAACTTTATTTTAATATAAAAAAATAATAAATTGGGGTCACTTGAAATTTTGTTTACATTAATTATAAAATTTTTTTAATAGCGGAGTCCTAATATTGGGCAAAATATGGGACCTGACACACCCTACTCTCCCTCTGCTGCTAGGGTAAGAAAAATGGAAAACAAATATTTTTCCTAATTTCTATTCTTACATGTGTGTGTTATAAAATCGGAATTGTTTCATATTACATACCCAGGGTTATCACCAAAGATTGAGACTGTAAAGACGACCTGAAGCATTTAAAATATGACGATTTCAATGTTAATTATGTCTAAATAAATTCCGTACTGTCGTCTCTGAGATCTCATCCTTTGTAGGCAGACCTGTAACTCTTAAAATACTGGCAATATTTCTTAAAGTAAAATTAGCTGTTATATAAAAATTAAAGTTGTCATTGACCTCCGACTGCGCCAAGATATTGTTGAAAGTTTCTGAGAGTTTCCTTGGTTGATGCAACAGAAAACACCTAAATATGAATTCCAGATCCAGACTTCGGTAAAGGTGTTTGACCCCTTTCTTGGCAAAATTAGTTTTTGGAAGTTCATGCTGACTTTAAAATTTTATATTCATCTTTTAGACTTAATGGACAGACCAAGATAATACAGTTATCATGTTCAAAAATATCTTTTCAGTCCTCAAGTCCCCCTCCAATCATTACACGAAATTAATTGGAATAAGATTTTTTTCTCTGTGTTTAGCAGGGTATGCTATATCTACAATTTTACTAATTTTTATTGTTATGTATTCGCCTATATATAAGATTAAATTCTTATAATTCTTCAATCAAAACTCCTCTTTTTTAAAGAGTTATTGAGAAGAACAAAAATGTTTTGAATTTTTCAAAAAGTAACAAATTAAATTTGCGCTTCTCAAACTTAAACGCGAAATCAAAGATAGAGGAGCTATGAGGTCACAAAGTCGTACTGGTGATGTCATATAAACCTTCTACTTCTGTTTATTTTGCAGTGAGAAATCCACTGGCGTTGCTATCTTTTAATAAACAGCTTAGTGTACAAAGTGCGGAATGGCCGGAGCTTTTAAATGAAACCAAATTTTATTAAACAAGATTCTGTAACAATTCCGTTTTTTGACAGATACAAGTCATATCTGTTTTCATATTGTGTATGTACATGATACAGGAGGACCCAAAAAGATTGAGATTTCAGAGACGACTGTACCCAGTAGTTCTTACTTGTTTCGTTCTTCATTAGTTAAATCATTTAAACGTTTATTATTCTACTATATTTAGGGCAAACCCCCAATAACAATCCACAGATTATTAAATTGAAAGAGTTTTAGGTCGAATTTAAAGTATTATTCTTTGTGGGTAACCCTGTAAATTACATACCTCAAAAAAACCATTCAAAAACAGGATTATTGTTGTCTTAGACCCTAGCTTTGTATAATAAATAGCTTTGTAAATAAATCTTTTTCTATTTCACAGTTTTTAAAAACTTCTTGAAATGATATTGTTTAAAGAAAGAATTCAGGCGACAATCATTTCACCGTTTTCTGGTCTCCGCTGTATAATATATAATATATTCTAGAGCACAAATATGGCAGCTTTGATTGAAGAAACAAACAGTAGCAGAGGAAGTTTTAGTCAGGATATATTCACAATTAATCAGGCAAATATATAAATATTTATTTAGTCAGGATATATTCACAATTAATCAGGTAAATATATAAATATATATTTAGTTAGGATATATTCACAATTAATCAGGTAAATATATAAATATATATTGCAAGTATATAAAGATATATTTAATATTAATAAAATATTAGAAAATCACAAAAACATATATTTTATATCAATAAAGACATAATTTTTTTACAACAATTTATTCTAAAAATAAAATTGGACCTAATCATCAGTAAAAGGTTAAAGCATTTTTCATTTTTGACAAATGTTTTGCAGATTTTTAAAAGATGGTTTACTTCTCAGCATACTTTAACTCAAACAGAAACCAGCAAGTGTGCCGGCTCTGCTCAACCGCTCATTATTGAAATTATAAATTTAGCAGTGAATAATTTTTAAAAAAGTATGATACAATATAAAGTCAGAACTGTTGTGTTGTGAATCAATATCCCGTGGTGACCACAATGCAGGGATAACTGAAGGGATCAAAGTATTGATCTCCAATTTAAAAGTGTCCACATTGGATACCTAGATCAAGCTTTGAAGATTACACAAAAGTTACGATTTTAGCCGAAAAAAAATCGTTTAGTTTTAAATAATGTTATCGTTAGAATGTTCAAAGTAGAATAAACAACTGTTCAATCCCCAAAACACTGATGTTTTAATTTTTTATATTAGGATTATAATAAAAGTTTGCTGTGATGAAATTAGATATTTACTATTTTAAGTTTCAAGGTTACGTCATTTTTAATATCGTTTACGCCTTATAATCCAGTCATTACTGAATAGGATTTTTTATGGTGGTCCTAAAAAGACGACATTTAAAAATTCTTAGATATTAAAATAGATATTTAAAGAAAAAATATTGGTGTTAAGTTTTGGGAATATTGGAACAGATGCGGCTTAAGGGGAGGAAAGGGGGACGTCCTCCTCCTGCAAAAATTGGGGACGAACCCCCCCCCCCTCTTTCACGAAAATTGTTGGTGTCCCCTACTTGGAAAAATTTGGAGTGTACGTAGAGAGCAGGCACATTCTACCTCTTTAATTTTAATGTTATAGAATATATCAATCACTCAAAATAAAGTTTTTTTTAAATATGTTTAAATCCAAAACTTGGCAACACATTTTCCCCTCCCACCCCCAGCATGTTTTGAATTTTACATAAAAATGAGCAAATTCCAAGGGAGGGGGAATGAGCTTTAGTCATTAAGCCGTGAAAGCTAGATTTGAACGTTATTTTAAAAAGAAAGCATAAAGATTTTAATTTAATCAATTCATCAATATAGTAAGTCTAAACAATTGTACTTTATTCGTCAAATTTACATTAAAAATTCAATGATTTCATCAAGCAAACATAAAAGTTTAAATTTCATTCGTCAAGGAATGACAGATTTAAAAATATTTATAGAGCAACGAAACATAAAGATATTTTTAGCTTAAAATACGAAAACTAATGCGCTTTTTTTACTCATCTGCGTCATTAGTGATTCTTGAAAACAGAGTTCAGTATTGTTAAATGTTTACATTCATCAAACTTTCTTTTCAAATAATTTTGAGAAAATTTTAAAAATCTGAAAAGTTCCTGTTAATGCTCCAAAAATGTCCTTACATAGTGTACACTGTACAAAATTAAAAAGCGTAAATATTGCCGCCATATTGTAAAATGTACAATTATTTACCACCCTTTTACCAACATTTACCGACCTATAATACCCCAAGCAGAGGAACTTTAAGTAACTTAACCTCCCTTGCCTGGGACAATCAAGTAAAACCAGCTGCTCTGCAAAGTTTTCTTGAAAAAAAACGCGCATTTTCATTTCAAAGCACCAAATAATTGTGTAAAACAACTCTTTATGCACGCACCTCTGCCACTTTAGTAAAAGCAAATTCAACCTATATGAAGCATAAAGTCTGACCGCGTCAACCTTGTTGCACTGGCTAGCCCTGTCCATAGAGCTAGGTACAGTACAAACTGGGACCAGGTTGACCCGGCTCGGAAATTCAAATGTACTACGGCTGCCCGTGTCTGGAAAAAAATGTACTTCTAACCACAGGTTCCCTCGGCCAATATTGGTCTTGGGAATCCCAGGTAAAGAAAAATTCCCTGAACTTCCCAGTACAGTTGTAAATACTTATTATCTACAGTGAGAACCAGAAAATGTGGATAGAGGAAGATGACATTAAAATAATACTGCAGTGTATTTGATGTTGTTATTAGGCAAATAGTTTTACTAGTAACTGATCACATCATAACCTGAGTCTCAGACTCGTTTTTCTTTTCCAGAGTTTTCTGGTTCTCACTGTATAAAGTGGGTAGCAAATATGAATACAGTATTCGAATTTAATGAATTTGAGCCGCGTCTTTAATCCGCCAAAAACCGGTTTCAATTAAGCGCCGGCTTAAATCTTGAAGCAATGAATACGATTTTAAGTGGAACCAACCATATTTGAGCCGCGGTTCAAATTCTTTAAATTCGGCCTCAGGATTCCAACAACTATATTAATATGATTTTAAAGATGACTGCGAATTTTTATTCTGTCTTAATTCTTTTTTAATATCATATATATATATAAATATATGCATATAATCAAGACAATACTTTTGTAAAATCCTGGGAACATATAAATTTTTATCTGATATATATTATTTTTTGATTTTTTGGGGTTTTCTTCCTGCGTGACAACAACAAAAGTATCTTAGTCAATTTTGCTGAGACAAAGGTTTGAATGTGATACCTCCTGAAACAGTCACTATAACTAATTCTAAGATTGGTCTGATAAAAATGTTTTTAATTGGGTATCTTTGTTCAAATATTTGACCAGTCCCTTATTAACGAAATATCTTTCAGGAGATTCTCACACAAAATAAAAATAAAGAGAGAGGAGATCAGGGGATGAAAGGAAAGGTAAGTGCTAAGTTGTGCATTTCCCCGAAAATTTATAATTTTGCAAGACTTTGCAAATTTTGTGAAAATTGCACAAGATGCAAGTAAATTTGCGCGAAATTGCAACAAAAACTTGATAAGTGATCTGAGATTGAAACTTTTGTGAAGTAAAGTTTCTTTAACATTTGATCTCGATATCCAATTTAAGGATAAACGCCTGATCCATAAGATGGAGATTGGAGATCATAATTTATGAATAATCCCTAGATCTGCATAAGATGGGGATTGGAGATCATAATTTATGAATAATCCCTAGATCTGCATAAGATGTAGATTGGAGATCATAATTCATGAATAATCCCTAGATCTGCATAAGATGAAGATTGAAGATCATAATTCATGAATAATCCCTAGATCTGCATAAGATGTAGATTGGAGATTATAATTCATGAATAATCTCTAGATCTGCATAAGATGGATTGAAGATCATAATTCATGAATAATCCCTAGATCTGCATAAGATGGAGATTGAAGATCATAATTCATGAATAATCCCTAGATCTGCATAAGATGTAGATTGGAGATTATAATTCATGAATAATCTCTAGATCTGCATAAGATGGAGATTATAATTCATGAATAATCCCTAGATCTGCATAAGATGGAGATTGGAGAAACACAACTAATTGACTTTAGTTGTCTAAAAAAATAAAGATTGCGTTTAATATTATCAATCTAATCTAATCTAAAATCAAATTATTTAATTCATGCAGCGCCAACGAAAATATACAAGGTTTGGATACAATTTTTGATATTGGAAATTTTGTTTAGGTTTCTTATAACGCGTTCCATTTCTAGGGGAACGTTTGTAAACAGGAGTCTTGGAACACTGAAGCACATTCAGACTTTATGGATGATACAGGTTGTGAATATTCTTCAATATAATGGTATTCACAATCATTCGGATTTTAAGGTTGCAAGCTCGTACGCAACAATCGCACGCAATCTATTGGTTGATTAGCGAGCTGTGGGTTAATTAGCTAGCTATTGGCTGATTAGCGAGCTATAGGTAAATTAGCTAACTTTTGGTTAATTAGAGAGCTTTTTGTTTATTAGCAAGCTATTGGTTGATTAGCAAGCTATTGGATTATTAGCGAGCTATTGGTTGATTAGTGAGCTATTGGTTTATTAGCGAGCTATGGGTTGATTACTGAGCTTTTGGTTGATTAGCAAGCTTTTGGTTGATTAGCGAGCTATTGGTTGATTAGCGAGTTATTGGTTTATTAGCAAGCTATGGGTTGATTAGCGAGCTATTGGTTGATTAGCGAGTTATTGGTTGATTAGCAAGCTATGGGTTGATTAGCGAGCTATTGGTTTATTAGCGAGCTATTGGTTGATTAGCAAGCTTTTGTTTGATTTGTCAAAAAATAGAAAAGAGTTGCAGGGAACCATTTATCTAAGAAAATAAACTGAATACATTCCGTAATCTGTACAATTCTTCTCTAAAGTCTCATACAAATGTAAAATGAATACCCTGAACTGCACAACACTTCGATGGAAAGGTTATGCAAATAAAACGTTAACAAATACAGAAGCTTTTACGCTTGATTAAATGCTATAAAATGCTTAACAATCATGTATATTTTATAATACATGAGTGCTTAAATCTTCAGCAGTTTTAAACGTGCATTTTTTCATGGGTTTATCTTTCAGATGAGGAGAGTCTTGATTCAGGTTCTACTCAAGGAGAGATTATTATGAATTTATCTAAACTAAAACAAGATCTAGGTAGGTATCTTAAAGGGACTGTAAGCTGTATGAATTTCAAGTGACCCTCCATGCAAACATGGCAATGCCCGATTCGCCACAGTACTCTTATAACTTTTACCTGATAAACAATGTTGAAGATATTCTCGTTTCAATTCTGATAATTCCTTTATGTTGTCCTGTGCGCAAGTCATGTACTTTTGTAGAAAACCCAAAATTGAAATTAATCATGATTTTCAAAATTCTAAAAATTGTTATTTATTTTATACCATTGTACTTGTTCAGATAAAGAATTTTTAGGTTGCCCTTGGGAGTCGGGCATTGCCATCAAAAATTTGAAGAAAAAAAATGGTGAACCCTGTTTATCAACTTTAGACAACAGATTTAAAAATATTTTTGGCCAAATTTAAAGACGTCAAAACCAAAACTGGGAGAATTTTTTTCAGAAAAAAACGGAGCCAAGGTCTTTTTTTCTGATAATTGTTAGCATTATTTCTTTCCTTTCATCTTTCAATTGACGCGCGCAGACAATAATGACTGTGTACATAAAGAATTTAAAGGTTTCAATTTCAGATAGATATTTTAGAGATCTAATTAGTTCTCTTCACTGACACCCTTGTAATGATTCTTTAAAGAACTTTGAATAGAAACCGTATAGATGAATAGATACCGTATAGATGAATAGATTTCGTATAGATAAAAAGATACCGTATATATGAATAGATACCGTATGGATGAATAGATACCGTATAGATGAATAGATTCCGTATAGATGAATAGATTCCGTATAGATGAATAGATATCGTATAGATGAATAGATACCGTATAGATTAATAGATACCATATAGATGAATAGATACCTTTATTTTCTATCTTTAATGGATTTACCTATAGATAAATAACAATACAGATAGAACACTAGATGTCGTCTTTTCGAGATTAAGGGATTTTTCGTTCACAATAACCTTGAGGCAGAAGGCCAAAGGAGTTACCCGCACGCCAAGTAGAATTACAATACAGACAGAGAGCATGCGCGTAACTCCTTTGGGCTTCTGTCTTAAGGTTATTGTGAACGAGAAAACCCCAAAATCTAGAAAAGACGACATCTAGTGTTCTATCTTTAATGTTATTAATCTATGCATTTACCATCCAACTTTTCCAATATCCAATCAGGCAAAGCCAGAAAAATAACTTCTACGCGTAATTTCAAAGGGACTGTCCTCGTAATTTCAAAGGAACTGTCCTCGTAATTTCAAAGGGACTGTCATCGTAATTTCAAAGGGACTGTCCTCGTAATTTCAAAGAGACTGTCATCGTAATTTTAAGTGTCCTTCCATTAGAAGAGGGGCATACTCGATTCACAATGGTACCCTTGAAGCTTTAATCTCATTAATAATGTTGAAGATAAAATATTTTTCTGGCTTAATTCTGATAATTCCGGAAGTATGAAATTCGCAGGAAACTCGCATTGATATATAATTCAGAAAAAAATGTTAAGGGTACCATTGCGAATCGGGCTGCCAGGCATGCAACTCTATCAATGGAGGTTCACTTGAAATTACTTTACAGTCCCTTTAAGAGAACCCTTGAAACATTTCTCAGAATCGACCAATTGTTGTTATTTATTGTCTAAAAATATAATAAACCTTTTCCATCCTACACTGAGAACCTGAAAACAGTAAAATTTTTGTTGTCTTCTTTGTTCTATTAAATAAAAGTCGCTCTGTGAACACTGAACAGTCTCACTTTTGATAATAAAGGAACTATTGATTTTTTTATATTTTATATAGAAACTCAAGAGCATGCAACATGTCTTTTGTTCTAGGGACTATATAATCTCTTCTAAACGTTACACTTAAAAATGTCAAGAACATTTCAAAATAAAACTTTTACAAATATCATTTTCTTCAGCTAAACATGAATATAAAAAAGTATTTACTTTTTATTCAAAAAACCGACACAACAATATGTTTGGAACTTGCAATATTTTAAAAAGTTACTTTTTAACATTTTCAAAAATGAAATGTGAAGTGAGTAAAGTGTGACATAAAAAGAATATTGGGGGATTTTCTTGCATTCATTTGTCCATTATTTACTCTATTCATTTATTCATTGAAATCCAATTTACATCGAATCTGCATAATTAATCTTTAAACTTTGTGATTTCACTCACTGACCATGCTAGGCCTTTTTTTAACCCTGAGTTCTAATTTTTTTTCTTGCTTTATTCTTTAAAAAGAATTTGGCAAAATTCCAATAGATTCAAAACATGCATATTTTTGTTCATAATACCCCCCCCCCCCCCTCCTAATGACTTTAAAACCTAGGGATGGATCGTTTTTACTTTTCAGAAAAACGAACTGATAGTTTCGTTAATAACGTTGAAAAAACAGTAACAATCGTTTTTAAAACGATGTTATTTCAATATCGTCATTTCGTTTTTAGTTTTTCAAAAGATCATATTTAACAATTCCTTTTTCTTAAAATGAAGATAAATTGGCTTCGAACAATCAAAAACAAATCGAAAAAAGATAATTTTTTCCGTTTGTTTTCAGTAACGATTAGGAACCCTATAGCAACACTTCTAACAAAGAAACCCATGGTCGAAATTCAATTATTGTTTCCGGAAAAATTATTGTTTTATTTACCTTAACGTAAGTTGTGTTTACACTTTGGTGGAAAATATATATAAAAAGCTTAGTTTTTGCATTAAATAGTTATTTAATATCAAAGAAAAAATGTCAGAAAATGAAGAGGATAATTATCGAATGTTCGAACCAACATAAAAAAAATTCTAAAAATTGTAAAACAAATTGCCGGATTGAATTCTTCACAAAAAGAAAAAATATGAGAACAAATTTTGTTTCGTTTGTTTTACATGTAAGCGCAATTTATGAACATTTTACATAAAATCATATTTGGAAACAACCCAAAGATTTTTCAACATATTCGGAGGAACATAGGTAATTTTGTTCAGATTACGACAATTTTGGCACTGCAAAAAGACGCTTTTTAGATATATCTATAAGATTCAAGTGGAAAATTATAATTATATTTATTTGTTTGGAATAATAATAACTGTGTCCGAATTTAATGGATTTGAGCCGCGTCTTAAATCCGCCAAAAACCGGTTTCAATTAAGCACCGGCTTAAATCTCGAAACATTTAATACAATTTTAAGTGAAATCAACAGTAGCAATATTTATATCGCACAGAGTGTGCGATATATCTAACTGCGACTTTTCCGTTAAATGCGGTATCGTTTTTTTTACAATGAGGAAAGGCAGTCTATCCTTTAGATTAGCTATTTAGACACACGATGAAATTTTCTGTCCATTATTTGAAGATTTTTTTTAATAGCATGGGCAACGCCGGGCACTTCTGTTAGTTAGATATTTATCTATTTAGGAAAGCAGCGGAGAAACGGGATCCCTTGCTCTCCTTTTAAACGAGGAAATAACTCTACAGATTTTTAAAGGTAAAAAGTAAATACAACTGATTACTCGTCACACAGTCTAATTTTCACATTTTTATATCTGCATATCCTAGACCTTCATATAGATATATAGCATATTTTAAATGTTCAATTCTGGATGAACAAAAATCAAAAGTTGAAATTATTGAAAGTGTACAGTTTGTACAGCAGGTCTTAGACAAATTTAAAAGAAAATTAGAGTTTGGTAGGAGTAATCAATTATTTTCCAGAACGATTATGCTCAATTACTTGCTTCCTCGCATAGCAACATTTGGAGGCTTTTGATGTGTTGAATTGATAAAAGTATATTTTTTAAAAGTACCAGTCGATAAGAACTTGATTCGGATGCAATTCATTTTTCACGAACGTTCCCTTTAAAGGGACTGTAAGCGTAATTTAAAGTGACCCTTTATACAAATATGGTTATGTCCGCTTAACAACGGTATCCTTGAAAATTTGTCTGATCAATGATATGGAAGATGTTTGTCGTTTCTTCTAGGTTTAAAAGTGTCTAATTATAATCATTCCTATATGTAGAAATGCACACAAGTCACTTTGTAAAGAAACCACAATTAAAAATGAACAGTTTTCAAATTAATAAACATTTATATCTAATTCATACTTGATTAGACAAAGCTTTTAAGGGTACCGTTGTAAATCGGGCATTGTCATCTTAACATTAAGGGCCACAAAAAATTACGCTTACAGTCCCTTTAAATAAAAGGTTTAAACTTTTATCAATCTAATACTTGCATGAAATGGTTAAAAATATCGCAAAAAAATAATTGATGAAGGACCTAATTAAAATGTTTAATTTTAACGTTAATAGGCCAAGTATATATCGACTAAACTTTATGTGTTATATTATATAATAATTCTTTTCGCTAATATGTATATAAAAATATATTGGTTTTGGTTCTCCGCTAAAAATATTTGCTCTGTTTCAAACGTTGTGCTCCATGATAAAATCTATAAATAATATCTATAATTCGTAATACATAAATATATTTTTGTATTGAATTCTTGAATGATAGAATTGGAAAGATCGTCGTTTCTAAGGGTGGTAGCTTAGGAAATGACGGTGAAAATCACAAGCTGTTTTATCCATTTTGAATCAGATTTAGATGGTTTCACGGATTTTCTCTTTCCAGTTGGAACATTTAAGACTCCACTCGCATATATTTATAGCAGACAAATAAATAAACCAATATATAATAAAACAAGACACTCATATATATGTTGCATATAGCCGGCCAAACGGCTCGACCGTTTGGGCTAAATTTTTTTTGTGGCTAAAAAAATCGAAATATTTATTTCAATTTTTTTCCACGGGCAACGCTGGGCCCTTCAGCTAGTATTCTATATAATAAGACAAAACATTCGTATATAAGTTCCCTATAGCCGGCAAAACGGCTGGACCAAATGGGCTATATTTTTTTGAGTTAACTAGTGGGTAGCTCGGGGATGACAAGGGTATAAAGAAAGTTAGAATTTTTTTTTCAAAATCGGAATTTTTTTCCAAATTCAAATTTTTTTTGCGGGCAACGCCAGGCACTTTAGCTTAGAGTACATTATAAAGCTCTTCGCTCATATATATATATATATGACTCTAGTATTTGGGACTTGAGTTCCCAATGTGTTTCAAAATTGTATACATCATGGAATACTGCTATTAGAATTCTTTTTAATGTACCTAGAGATGCGCATAGGTACTTGATTGAAAGTATTTCACAATGTTTACATGTAAAAACTATGTTAGTTAGCAGATGTGTGTCTTTCTATGAGACTATTGAAGCAAGTTCTAAGCTTTGCATTAGATTTCTTTCTAATTTATGTAAAAATGACCTCAACACAGTTCTTGGCAGAAAGATTGTTCTGTAAATCCTTCGGATCTTAGAAAAATGTTAGTTAAGAAACAAATGAAATATTTTGATGTCCCATTGGAACATGCATGAAAAGTTCCGGTTTTACAAGAACTTTTAAATACAAGAATGAATAATTTATATGTTGAAGGATTCGATGATTACGTAATAACTGAAATGATAAATATGTTATGTAGTGAGGAAAAATCAATTTTTTCTATTTGTGCATAATTTTGCATATGTTCTCTCTTTTCTTTTGGAAACCTGTATTTTCAAAAAAAAATTATTTTAACAAATTTTATCTACACCATTTATATATGTATTTATATCTATGTGTGTGAATAAATCTTTATAATAATATTATATATGTATATATTTATAGATATACATAAAACATTTTGTATGATAAAACATCTTGAAATATATTACAATGCTTTAAATTGTTGTTGTAACTTTAAATGCATAATCTAGTGAGAAGCAGAAAACCCTGGAATAGGAAGACGACTTTTAGTCGCAACGCATGACTCTAAATAGTCAATGATCGTAAGACACAACAATTTTGCAGAGAAAACAGACCTATTGCACTTAATAAGTGAAATTATAAGTTACTATTAAATCTATTTGCTTTGTAACAATATCAAATACAAATAATTATTGTTTCTTTTGTCGTCTTCCTATTCCACAGTTTTCTGGTTCTCACTTTATATATGTTGGCTGTAGCTGTCCAAACGGCTGGACCAAATTGGCTGAAATTTGTTGAGGGAACCCATGGTTGTATACCCCTCGTAGTAAAGGGATAGGCTAAAAAAAATTTAAACCTAACGCCATTTATTTCCATAATTATTGAGACACTCTGTACGTTAGATGTTGTCCTGTTTTAGCTAACGGATAAAATTAAAACAAATCCTGTCCATGATAAAAGTTATTAAAAGTTTCTTTTTTAGAATTTACAGATCAGCTGGTTAAGAAACAGTTCCTTATTTCCAACCAGAACTTTAAATAATTTTTATATATTTTTATGTAAAATATACAGTCTATATTTGGCTTTACTTTTTATAGAAAGAGAAAACATGAAGAAATTGGGAAGTTGAGAAGTTGAGAAGTTGAAAAGTTGAAAAGTTGAGAAGTTGGGAAGTTGGGAAGTTGAGAAGTTGAGAAGTTGAGAAGTTGAGAAGTTGAGAAAGAAGTTGAGAAGTTGAGAAATTGAAAAATTGAGAAGTTGAGAAGTTGAAAAGTTGAGAAGTTGAGAAGTTGAGAAGTTGAGAAGTTGAGAAGTTGAGAAATTGAAAAATTGAGAAGTTGAGAAGTTGAAAATTTGAGAAGTTGAAAAGTTGAGAAGTTGAGAAGTTGAGAAGTTGTGAAGTTGAGAAGTTGAGAATTTGAGAAGTTGAGAAATTTGAGATGATTAGATGGGCATCGTTTTTGTCAACGAACCAAATTTTTGAAAACGAACGTCGTTCGGAAAAAATAACGAACGATCAACGATCAACGACCTGTTTTAAAATTGAACGAAGAAAACGAGCGCTTTTTTTACTGGACTAACGATTTTTCTACCAAATTTTAAAAAACCATAGTGTTTTAATGATGGAACGATCTTATGGAATGAAAGATTTTACTGAACGATCGTTTAGTGAGGAAACGAACGAAATATGTAAAAAATGAACGAAAATGTTGAGAAAATACTAAATAAATATTTTTAAACGTTTAAAAAAAAGCATCGAACAAACGCCCCCATCTCTATCTGTAGAACAACGTCTTTTTGTAACAAAATTCCAACATTTTATTCTCTGATATAATCTTTATTCTTTGGTAAATAAAATGTTTATCTAAAACATTGGTTTTTGTTGACACTTCCTAAAAAGATTGCCTCTCTCAGATAATAAACTTCAATGTTAATATATAAATTTATTAAATATTTTTATTTATAAATTAATCATAACATATGCCTTTGGTGAAACAGAATAGTTTATAGCAGCACAATTTTTCAAAGCTGTACAATTGGGAGTGTACAAAACTGTACAGTTAAAGGTGCAAACAGCTGTACTTTTAGTATACAAAATGCTCAACACTAAACAGTAAATTGAACACAATTGTACAGTGTACTCCAGCTGTACAGCTGTGAGTGAAGAAATAATAGAATATCTGTTATAAAAAATTTACAATTTAAATCAGTGCAATTTAGATATCTATCAAAGATCTTTTTCGTCAATATCGAAAATAATTGAAAATATTTAATTTGTTTAAGCTCAGAATGAAATGTACTTATTCAGTCTACTTTATGATAAAAATGTGTTTGTATAAATTATTTCTAATAAATAGATGTGAGGTTAGCAGGGGGGAGGGGAGTAAAAAAGTTGTACAAGGACTACAGATGCAATCAAGTCATAAATCGGAATGGATTTCGGAACTTTTATCTTCAGCTAAACACAATTCAAACATATTTCTGGGTTCCCACAAACTAATGGACACAGTTTTAAGGGGGGTTCTGGTTCTCTATGAAAGTAAGGATTGTCTGGCTGCTGAGACAGAGGAAAGAATGGGTTGGGTCGGATGCTCCAGGTTGGACAGAAGCTGAAGGGGTCTAGAATCTTGACTTGGCTGCAGAGATCTGGTATCCAGGTGCTGATATCTGGTATCTAGGCTAGTCTGATGGTGGGATCTGGTATCCAGACTGGTCTGAAGATGGGGTCTGGTATCCAAGTTTGTGTGGATTTGCTCCATTGAGAGAATTGACTCCGAGTCCTGGTTTATTCTGAGATTAGAACCAAACCACGACTCTGTGTCTAGATTAGCACCCTGAGTTGAATCCAGAGGTTCGATCTTACATTTAGACTCTGTTAGAGGATGAAGATGAGTTTGAGGTTGGGAGTATTCAGCTCCGGGTGAGTGTGAGGGTGGGGTTGGAAGATACCCTGAGTTGTATGAATAATCAAACTGTGAGAGCTGAAGAAAATCCTCCGGGACGTAGTACTGATGAGATGAGTACTGATACTGATAATCATACTGGAGTCCTTGATCTGGAGTAGGTGAGTGGTGGGAAGAGGAGGAGGAGCTAGAACAGTTCCCTGGAGAAGATGTGGGCGGAGCAGTGAATCCTGGAGCTGAGGGGGTTAAAGGAGCGCTGTATGCAGGATGAGGATACGTGTAGGGTGTGTCGTAGCATCCAGGATAATAGGCAGCTGATTCTTCTTTAATATATCCAGGTCTATGGTGTAGAGTATACGGAGTATACCTGGACCTAGACATATTCCTCGAGTTCATCGAGTTCATGGAGTTCATGGAGTTCATGGAGTTCATATACCAGCTAGGTAGACCAGAGCTAAGGTTTGTAACAGGGGATTGAGCTCCAGGACGCTCCTTAGCATCTAGGAACGCCTTAGCAAAGGGATTGTGTTTAATCTTGAGTGCGGTCACGTCCTCGTTCTGGTAAGCGGTCACGGCAACGAACTGCGTCGACGGATATGGAAAGCTCCAGACTTGCTGCGGGTCGCCGGCAGCTCCGGGAACCCGAACAACATGGACGCGTGGTTCATACTTGTGCAAACTGTTCAGCATAATCTGTCCCGAACCCTTCGTTTTATTGGTCAACTTAACTTTAGAAAAGTTCACTTGATCATTCTGCCAATGTGCTCCGAAGTTAGGACTATCTGGATGCATGTAGACCGGGTTCTGAGGGGCGGGCTCCGCCTTACCGCCGGCCAACCATTCTCCGTTCACGTACTTCCACCTGTGGTTCTCCACCTGGACGAACTCAAGGAGGACGGAGTACATGGCGGATGGATCTAATCCTGAGATGCGAACCTGAAATACGTAGAAATATTACTTAATGAACATTGAAAACTAATTTTTAAGGTTAAAATCTAAATAAATAAAATTCTAAACAGTATGTCCGCGAAAAAGAATTTCCTTAAAAAATTTAGAAAACTTGAAAATATCATTTATTCAATCATTATACGTTTTCATAAGTAAATCGTGAAAAGCCATTCTTTTTCAATGCCTTTAGATTGATTGACATGATTGACAAACTAAAATAATTCTTAAAAATTCATTTAATATTTTACCTTAATCACTGGAAACATTCTTCTCCCATTCTTGGTGACGATCATCTCGTTCGTTAGGTTCTTAAACTTATCCCAGAGCTCTGCATCCTCTAGTTCTACCATAGGACCTCCAGGTACCTAGAGATACAGAGGTTTTAGAGGTTTGTCAGGTGGTTTAGAGGTTCACAGGGGGTTTATAAGTGGGTTTAGAGGTTTATCCGGAGGTTGAGGGGCTAGCAGGGAGGTTTACAGGTTAGCAGTAGGTTTAGAGGATAGCAAGGGGTTTAGAGGATAGCAAGGGGTTTAGAGATTTATCAGGGGGTTTAGAGGTTATCAGTGGGTTTAGAGGTTAGCAGGGGGGTTTGAGGTTAGCAGAGGGGTTTAGAGGAGGTTAGCAGGGGGTTTAGAGGTTTATTAGGAGGTTTAGAGGTTAGCAGGGGGTTTAGAAGTTAGCAGGGGGTTTAGAGGTTAGCAGGGGGTTTAGAGGTTAGCAGGGGGTTTAGAGGTTTATCAGGAGGTTTAGAGGTTAGCAGGGGGTTTAGAAGTTAGCAGGGATAGTGGGATAGTGTAAATATAGAGGTTATCAGGGGGTGTAAAGGTTGAGAGGAAAGCTAACCAAGTTTGAAACATTTTTTTGACCTGTTTGGTTTGGCCAGTTAGGTAAGTTTGGATAAATTTTGAATTAAAGCTAAGAATTTATATAGGTTTCACCCCCTGATCTAAAGGTAGATGGCGTAGGGAGGAGGTGGGGAGGGGGTGGGGAGCAGGAGGGGCAATAAATGCTGTAAATAGCGGATATGAGTCAGGCAGAAATCTTTGAAAAACAAACAAGATAATATTGAATTGAACCTGTGTGGTGTGACGTCATCTTTCTATTATATAAAAATGCGCAAAGTTGATGTTTTAAAATCTCCGATAATCTTACAAGCATACAGAAACTCTACCAATTCATTGTTTTAACAAAACAAATTACGTCTTTTTTCAACCAAAACTTTCTAAGCAAAAAGTGGAATTTACATATGAGATGATGATTTAGATGAAAATGGTTTTAGACAGCAGGTTAGACAGCAGGTTAGACAGCAGCTTAAACAACAGGTTAATCTGTTTCTTAACATTCAATAAAGAATAGTTTTTTACTTGGCTCCACTATTTACATAGTATTTCAAATTTCAGAATTTTGCCTTTTTTATTTTAATTTCGGTTTTAGTTGCTAAATTTTGATCCTAAAAGAAGATTAAAGTTAGAACCAACAGATATATGAAATATGGTCTGAGGATGGAGTGTCCTTAATCTTTTACGTTTGATCTCGATATCTAACGTGGAAACTTAGATTTTAGGATCACTACTTGATTCCTAACTTATCCCTTCATGATATGACTTTGCGCGGATTATCGAAGAAAGTAAAATTTATTAAAATTTATTAAAATTTTTTAAATGAATGGTTAATATTGACTTTTCATTGAACAAAAACAAAAACAAAAACTCTGTCAGCTAATCTTGATTTGAGAGAATTAATTGGATTTTCCGTACTTTTATTCGTTTTCGTTTTTAAAGGGGGTGTTCGTAAACAATGAAAGGGGTGCAGGCTTACGGCGAAAAATAAGCGCTTTTGATCGCAACTAATCTAAGTTCTTTCTATTGCGTCTATAAGGAGAAAATTGTTAAAAACGACTGATGCTGAAGAACATAGCGTCCATACAAATTGAGAAAGTTGCAACATTCAACTCGGATCGCAAAATAATCAATTTAATTCTTAACAAATCATTCCGATATTACAACCAATGGTCATAGATAATTTTTCGACGCATTCGTATATAGTTAATATTTCATAATATTTAAATTTAAAAAAAAAAAAATAATATTTCACTGGTGCTGGATTTTTTAACATTCCTGGAAAATACGAAAATGTCCTTTTCATTATCAAAAATTCTCGAAACAGGAATAAATGCTTTTTAAAAGTAACTCTCGGATCATAAAAAATAAAAAATATTATGAAATATCAACTATATACGAATGCGTCGAAAAACTATCAATGATTATTGGTTGTAATTTGAATGATTTGTTTGGAACTAAATAGATTTTGTTAAAGCCATTTTTTCCTAAAACGTTCCTAGCACAGTTTAGGAAAATAAACGAATAACAATGAAATCTATGTACCGGATAAATCTTTGATTTTTGGAAAATATGAATTATACTCTCCCGGCCCTGAATTATTGGAAAAGTAAAAATGTTTTTTTAAAACATGGAAATTATGCCTAATTACAAATCGTCCAAAAGTTGACGTATACATTATCAAATCTAAAATTTTTGAAAGGGGTTTGAACCGATCATATTAAGCACTTTTTCTCTTTATTTAAAACTATATAATGCTAGTACAAAATCAAAATCATTTGTTTAGTTAGAAAAATGTTTCCAATTTCTAAAGAGTCTAAAAAATATCGAAGGCTTTCATCAACATTTTTTTATATTGTTTTCAAGTAATTCAACATATAAAGGATTTTCCCAAATTATTTAGAGAAATCAACTTTAGAATTTAAAGAAAATTAATAAATGATTTATTAATCTGCTTCTAAAGACTCTACATTTTAACAAAAAGACAAATTTAAAATTGAATTGGAATTTTTCTTTTACCTTCTGTATTTTCTCTGTATTTCTGGAGTGTAGAATCTGCGAAAAATCCGTGAACCCACTCATTTTTGCCCACTGCAAAAATCTGTCCAAATTTTGCACCTGTTGGCTTTGCTGATCGAGATATGTAACTAAGTTTAATCCCTCAGTAGAAAATACTTTTCACGCTCTTATCTTTAAACTGAAAAAGCAAATTCTAAATCTTAACACTGTCGAAAATGTTATAACTTCTCTGAAATCCCGCAGATTTTTCAAGGTTTAGTTTCAACTCTCCGGTTTTTCTCTGTAGGATTACTCCGAGTGCACTCTGATATACGGAAATCAAGGTTCAAGATTACTCCGGGTGCACTCTTTTATACAGAAATCAGGGTTCAAGATTACTTCGGATACACTCCGATACACTGATCACGGTTGCAGAGGAATGAACCTTCAATGGTTTCCAAATCAGAACTGACCCATGGGTTTATTACAACTATAAACCCCCCATATACTCAACTCATGTTGATACCCCCCCCCCCTTCCGTAAGAGCGCCCCTACCCCTCCTATCCAGCGCCGGACTTAGCGGCGAACTTAAGAAGCTGTAAGTAGGAAACAGGGGTTGACTTTTTTAAACAAAAAATGAATAAAAAATAATAATTTATCAAAATTCATATAAAAATTTTAAAATGAATTCTTAAAAAAAATTTTTTTGGAAAACATACTTAGTTGGTTAACTGGACAAGGAAGTGAATTTGATTTTTCGGAGGAGATGGCACATGTGGAAGAGGATGGGGGGGGGGGGCACAAATATGGTTCCGGAGAAGAGGGTGGGGGGAGTCAATATGGAGTAGAGGGTGGGGGCTACCTTTCATGGTTTCGTTTGCTTCAATTCTTATAATTTCTGATAATTTTTTGAGAAAAAAAATTCAAACAAAAAAAATTGTCTAATCGAATTTTGATTTTGGATTTCCAAAACCCAATATTACTAGGTTTACAGGGCTAATCACACTCCTTATTCCAGTCCCATGATAATCTTATTTTGGGGTTAGCTGATCTATCCTACATACTACAATAATACAAATAAAAAGTTTCGCACATGTTTCTGGTTTCATTGATAAAATATGAGATATTTTAAAAGAAAGAATAAAACAGAAGTTTTGTAAAAATCAAAATTTTGAAAAACAGAAAGAACTTGAGATAAAAGTATAAAATAGAAAATAAAATAAAAAATTAGTTTGATTCGACTCGTTTAATGTCAAATAATTATCGAGCCAATGGCAAGCTAAAAAGAAAAAGTTCTAAAAGAAATCATTTTTCAAAAAATTAAAGAGTATCAGAAAAATTCATTAATTTAGGATAGATGGAAATTTTGTAGTTCTTTATTCAAATTTCTTTGAAAATTCAAAAATTAAATTCGTGAAAACCTGGTCACCCGGCCGACTAGATTATTTTAATCAAATAATACTTTTTTGAATAGATTTTGCCATTTCACTCTCACATATTTTATCATTATTGGGGAAACAATTAGGAGGAGAAATTTATAAAATATTAAAAATTGAAAACAACAATGTGATTCATAATTTTTGTCGAAAAAAAGAATATTCTTAATATTAATTCCTAAAATTTAAACTAACAAGCAACTTGACATTAAATTGACCTAATAATTACTATGTAAAACTAAATTTAATAAAGTTTCTTTAACAAATACCTACTTTTCGCTATAAATTACATTAATAATATTCTATTCGTAAGGAGTATATTCCTTGATTTAATTATCTAATAAAATTGTCATGCTTTTAAGAAGATAAATATGTTGGTTAAAGGGACTGTAAGCGTAATTTCAAGTGACCCTCCATGGCTAAGATTACAATTCCCGATGTACAAGGGTACCCTTGAAAGCTTTGTCTGATCAAGTATGAATTAGTTTTTTTTTTCACTATTATTTTCATTTGCGGGTTCTCTCCGAAATTGACTTGCATATTTCTTGCTTAAAAGAAGCAATGGAGTGATTATTGGAATTAAATCATTTTCGAGTCGGAAATACGAAGCTTGGTATCTTTTACATTTTTTATTAGCGTATGGTTTGAAATACCAGTTTTGAGTATGATTATGAAAGATTGTGTTTCAATAACAGGGGGGGGGGGGGTTAAGGGAGGGAATAATCTTCATTGTGTATTTCTTGATAGTCTAGAGAATTGTGGACTAGTAAACTTGTAAAATTGTTGAAATTTGTAACTCTTAATAATTATCTATTTAAAACACTATTATTTTGGTCCGCATTGCTATAAAGCTTTAAGAGAACAGTTTTTTGGTCCCGAGCTTTACCGGGACAGAATTCAGTAAGTCTGAACTTTGGAACCCATTTTTATTCTTGAATGAAGATTTTTCATAATTTCCATTTTATACGCATTTGTTGGTATTAATATCAGAAAGTGTTTTCAGGTAGCAGACATATTTTAAGGAACATGAAGGAAAAACCAAGATCTCTGAGTGATTTCAACGCTTCCTGTCCTGGGTCGTGTGCCGAACTGCGCCGGTTAACTCTGCTATCTAGCGGTCAGCTAGGCCGGAAATATTAAACCGGATTCATTGCTCCCCTTTTTCCCAGGATATAATATACTGGTAGTGAATAGTGATTACTAATATGCAAGCAAAGATTCACAAAGGTCGCGGTACCTTTTAAACATTTTTCTCATTAAGAATGTTGAAGATATCGTTGTTTTTTAGCTTTAAAAGTGTTAATTCTGACAATTTTCGTTATTATTTCTGATGCAAAATAGAGAAAATCCAGGTATAAATGATCAACTTAAAGAAATGATTGATATCTCAAGCATTCTTTATCAGAAAAAAACGTTAGATGGTACCGTTGTAAATTGGACATTCGAGTCTATATAAAATAATCAATTTTTAAATAGCAACAGCTTAATTTCTCATACAGACCATCCAAACCTTTCAAGGGTACCGGTGTGAATCGTTCTCTATGGGTTTTTCACTTTAAATAAATTAATATTAGCTGAAGTGCCGGTCTAACCTAACCATAAATGTGAACATTTGGGAAGTTACAACTTGGTGAATTGTCACTTGAAAGTCGCCCTTGGAATAATGTCTCTGGGAACGTACCCTCCATCTTTTATTTTTGCTTTCTCTTCATATTTTTCTTTCTACGACTTTAAAAGATTAAAAATTATTCTTTTTTTGTCGTCACTCAATGTCATCAATTCCCATAAAGTGTTTTACTTCATTAAAAATAATTCTATTGTGCTTTTTCTAAAAACTAAATAATAAACATATCATTAAAGAACCCGGATCAAACCACGTCAATGTATTTTCAACATTCGTCAAATTTTTCAATCCATAATTTATTTTGATAATATTAATTGCACATTTGTCCAAATTTTTTTGCACATTTGTAGTAATATCCTTTTAGTCTTGACATTTTGTACTGCTATGCTTTTAGTTATCAAAATTGTTTAGTGATAACAATTTGTTACAAAACAAATTAACGTGTTTGTAACAATATACTTCTTATGAATCTTGATAATATTTTGGAATGATTTCAATAATAGTATTTTGTAACAAAGTGCTTTTAGCATTTACATTTTGATAACAAAACGCTTTAAGAAATTTTTGTAAATGCATGCATTAGACGGATACAATTTACACATTTTTTTTTGTCACACAAAACATGACAGTTGGTGAATAGTTTGAATTGTCTTTTTCCATAATTTGTTAAGTTGTTTGATACCAACGAGAATAAAGAAAAATATTATATTTCAGTAAAATTGATTTCAAGGTAAAATATATTTGAATAAAAGAGTTTTTTTAACGAAATAAACTGCAAAAGGTCTTGAACATCTAATACAGTATATGGAAGAAGACACTAAAAACTATTTTCCAACTGGCATGTTTCGTGGGACACTCTGTAATTGAAAATTTCGAAAATTCTACTCTCTTAATTTATTACAGCTGAGTAGATTAAAATAGATTATGTCATAAACACATATATTTCACTAGAAGATCATTCATTTGGCGTACTGTTCTGTATGCCTTGGTGTACTGTCCAGTATGCCTTGCATAGTCTGTATGTGTACTGTAAAGCTTGCTTAAGCTGATTAAAAGACTATCCGGTACTTCGAATGATCCGGAGTTTCTAGTGTAAATCTTTAGAATTTTCTTGATAACTATTTATTGAACTTTCCAAACAAAATTTTACAGTTTCGCTGATATTTTTTTCGTTGTTCCAAAAAAGTTTTTTTGCTTTTGTTTAAATTACATCTTATTATTTCTAAATCTAAAATTAAACATAAACCCTGCATTGCACGTGTAAAACAACGCTATTTCTGTATTTTATTTCACTCTGTTTGTTTCTTGAAAAGGCATCTTCTTTGAAGAGCAATGCTGAATTTTTGTCAAAAGAAAGCAAGAATAAAGATGCAATTTATGCATGCACAACAACAATTAAATTTGAATATATTGTCTTTTTGTTTGTCTGTTGGTTTGGTTGTGTCCAATAAACGTCACTGGTCGAAAAAAAGAGATTTTTGATTTTTTAACACTTCCGAAATCCACTAATAAAAAGAAGAAAATCTGTTAATATTATTTAGTTTTATAATGGCGGCAAACATTTAAAAGCTAAAGCTGATGTTAGAAAAAGGATTGTGAAGCGCCCAAAAAAACCTAGTAGATAGATAAATAGATAGATAAATTTATAAATAGATAAAAAGTTAATGCTACTCATTAAATATTAAATAGATAGTTAAACAGAGAGCGAGATATCAAGATAACTTTCACCCTTTATTTGCCAACTGGACAATTGTGATAAGAGAGGGGGAAGGAGTTGATTCCGGAGTAAAAGCATAGAGAAAGAGGAAAGCATAGAGAAAGAGGAGAGGTTGTAAATTGTACTTTAGTCCAAATTCTACGTACATCTAACAAAGGAACTGATTTTATGTCTGAAACTCTAATTTCCTAATCTATATATCTTTGAAACCTGATGAGGTAAACCTTTAAGATAGTTCAAACTTTGACTGCTTTATCTGGTAGTATTGATCAAAGATTCACGCAATCAAAATGGAAAGATATAAGGATTACAAAATTATAGAATGAGGAGAGAATCTTTTTTTGCACCTGAGAGTATTTCTGTTCAAAACCCGCCGATTGAGTATAAATACAGTCTGGGAAAGTTATTGGTGGAACAAAATAACCATGTCCGAAGAAGCACCACCTCTTTTTGGGATTTAGGTCAAATTTTTTATCTCAGTACACAATAATGAATTGAAAAAAGAAAAAAATTTTAATATTTCTTTGAGAGTTTATCAGAGAGTTCCTTGAACCTTGTTTTTTTATCATTTCTTTGAAAATGAATGCTTTAATCAAATAGGGTTTAAGACCTGTCACAAAACCCGCTGCATTTCCATTGATTTCAGTAATATTTATGATCAAATAGGGTTTAAGACCTGTCACAAAACCTTTATTGGAGAGAGATGTGGGCGAAGCAAGATTTTTTATATCAAGGAATTTATTTTTTATTTTGTTTGCTGCGGTGTTTTTGGTGTTTCAAAGCATTCGAAATTATGGTTGTAACGTTTATAATGGAAGAAATATTAATCTTGGCTGAGGGGAGGGGGAAATCTTTTAATGGACAGGTTAGGGGGATCCCCCCCCCGCCCCTTCTCACCTGGTTTATGAACAAAATCCGTGGATTTCAAGTGTCAACATATATATATATACTTGTATATGTTTCGGTAGGGTTAAATCGAAATATATTCCGATATTCCGATTATTGCCAGTATATGACTAAACACAGTGCTTTTGTGTGAAATAAAGTTTGATTCGGAGAAACCCTAAATCTATTAATTTTATTACTTATTTACTTCAATGTTTATTGTTTGTAATACACCTACTTTGTTTTGCACCTGGTACCATACCATACCATACCATACCATACCATACCATACCATACCATACCATACCATACCATACCATACCATACCGTTGACTTTTTTGTTTAATTGGAAAATTGTCGAAACATTGTTAATATAGGATTTTTTAGCGATTAGCGCAATGTTTAAAAAACGAAGTCAAAATCGCTTTCGGGGCAGTGTGTAAGGGACATTTAAAACCCACTTCTATTTACATCTAAAAACAGTTTTTTCAAACGCTAAAAATGTCACATATTTTAATTTGCAATTCAATTATAATTTTTTTCAAGTTTAAGTAAATTTTTCCGACGATTACTCGGAAGAAAATTCTATTAATTTTGATTAATAATTGTCAGTACATAAATGTGTTATTTGAAAATTGGGATTTTTTCAAATAAAATCAACTGAATCTAAGTTTTTTTTTAAAGACTTATATTAGAGCTGAGATTTGGGCCATATTGTAGACAAAAATGAAAACTAAACAACGTATTGTTGGATGATTATTGTGTCAGGTTAATAAGACACTTATAAGACAAGTAATTGGGTCAAGTGCCGCAGCTAGGACAGTATTTTGGTCAAGTGCCGCAGCTAGGACAGTATTTGGGTCAAGTGCCGCAGCTAGGACAGTATTTGGGTCAAGTCCCGCAGCTAGGACAGTATTTGGGTCAAGTCCCGCAGCTAGGACAGTTTTTGGTTCAAGTGCCGCATCTAGGACAGTATTTTAGCTAAAGACAGACGAATGAAGTATTGTTTAGACCAATTACTTGATTCAACACTAACAATTTGTATCTTTTAAATGTAAACATAGTTTGTGTGCAAATGTTTCGTTATTTCACTCAATCTAAGCTTTTTATTACCAGTCCTTTTTTGAGTCTTTACTTATCAAAAATTTTATTAATGTAAATTATTGCCTTATTCTTTAAACAAGTAAAACTTAAATCCTTTATTGTAAAAATATTCTTTTAATGAATTATTCAAACTTATATCCATAAAACGCCATAAAGTCGGCGCACTCTGATCTTGGTGGATTTTTGTTTCGGTCCAGGGGATATATATTTATATATATATTATATATATACCTGAGCTGTTTGTTTTCTTCAGGTTTATATCGCTAAGTCAACATCGACTCAAGTTGTAAAATAAAAGTAAACTAACTAAGAAACTTTAGACGATTAACAGTTTTTCATTAAAAAATCAGTAAGGTTTGTTTATTATCTTATGAACTGTCAACCAATGTTTTTATGTACATATCTCAGTGAAAATGTGTGTAAAAATGGTTCACATATGCACAGCTATAAAGTCATCAGAAACCGTTTTAATCATGTTGTTAATTCGTTTCAAGTTTTGTCTTGATTTCGTCTGTACGGGACGGTATCCTACAGTAAAACCGTCAGCAAAGATTCACTTTTCTTCGACATATTTAATCCATTTGAAATCCTGGGCTGTCAACGTTAAATAATAAACATACAAACTTGATAAACAATATGTCTGCTGCATTATTGCATAAAATTATGTTTATTTTATCAATTTATTATTTATAATTGAGAATAAAAATATGCATTTTTCAAACAATGAACATTTACAACTTAAAGCAAATAAAGTTATAAAAGTTTCAAAACCCGCTGCATTTCCATTGATTTCAATAATATTTATGATCAAATAGGGTTTAAGACCTGTCACAAAACCCGCTGCATTTCCATTTATTTCAATAATATTTATGATCAAATAGGGTTTAAGACCTGTCACAAAACCCGCTGCATTTCCATTGATTTCAATAATATTTATGATCAAATAGGGTTTAAGACCTGTCACAACATTTAAGCAGAAAGTACATTGAATCCCTATATATGGGGTAAAACGTTGATATGATAAACTTTGACGATTGTATCTACCAGAATTCATAGTTTAAAATAACTAAGGTCTACAACATGGTTGCAATCATAAAAGATCGGAAAATTAGATTCGAGGCATGTAATCAATTTCTTGGTTAAAAGTTTTCTGAGATAAATAAATCAGTTTAGCACACCGTCATATATACTTCATCAGATTTGCGCTGTTGTTAGTTCGACTTTGCGACTTCAACCGGTTTTCACTTTAAGCCCAAAACCTGTTAATATCCATTTTGTTGGTTTCAAGTTAAAGGAATTAAGTCTTTGTCACAAACTCTGATTTTCTAATCCCTATATCTTTGCAACCCAAACCTCAGATATTTCAAACTTTTTATTCTTATAAATAAAATAATCTGAGTTTGAAATATCAAAGGTTTACACCAAGTGGTTGCAGAGATATAAGGATTAGAAAAATAGAGTTTGTGACAAAGGCTCAATTTTTTTCCAAAAACATTTTTCTTTAAATAGTTTGAATATAGTCCCCTGCCCCCTCCCCCTCCCCACCCACCAACCCTTTTATCTAAATTAATTTTATTTTCCACTTTTGAATCTAAAATCAAAAGAAATATTTTACCATATTCCTCAAAATTTCCCAGATATTTAACAAATTCAACAATATATGAAAATGACTAAATTGATTAATTGATTACTTTATTGGAAAATTGTGTGATGATTATATTGGGTGTACACTGTACATGCTGTATAGTGAATTATACTAATTATGAATTGTCTAAGGAAAGATAGTCAATGACATAGCAAAGCTTTTTCAAGCTTTTTAGCCCCGTTATTAATATTATTACTAAGGGGGTTGTAAGCGTAATTTCAAGTAACCCGATATATAAGGATGGCAATGTCCGATTTACAACAGTAACTTTAAATTTTTTTATCTGATTAAAAATGAGGAAGCTTGCTAACGTCCTTTTCCAGAACCAAAGGGTTAATTTCTGATAATTTCTCCATTGCTTCTTTAAAACAAAAAATGCGCAATTCAGCGAAGCCAGAAATCAAAATAAACAGTTGTAAAAAAAACCCACATGGATACATAAATCAAACTTGATAAGACAAAGTTTTTAAGGGTATACATTGTAAATCGGACATTTTATCTTTGCATAGAGGGTCACTTGAAATTACGCTTACAGTCCCTTTAAGAAAATGTTTTTATTTTCAGTAGGAATGTAAACTTGTAAAAGATGACTCAGCTAATCTTCAAATTCAATCTGTACTATTCTTTTATTGGTTAGTATAGTAGAAGTATTTTGTAAACTACTTTTCTTCTTGGGGTCCTTTTTTTGCGAATTTATTTGTTCTGTTCTTTTGTTAGTCAATGTAATCTATTTGCATATTTTTATATCATTAATACTTTTTTATATTAATGACACTCGATGCCTTACTTTTTATATCACTATTTTCTATATATACTTATAAATTCTTCTTTCTAAAAATAATAAATTCGATTTCTACTTATACTATTTTTATATAATCAAAACACTTTTTATATAAATAATATTATTGCATCAATAATATTTTCAAATTATTAAAACTATTTTTCAAATCTTTTAAACTTTGTTTTTTATCATAGGTACAACAAAATGCATCTAACTATTTTGTATTTCTGACACCTGTAAAAATGTTTTTAATATAATTAACACTGTTTTATTTCTCTATTAAAATATTCATTATTCCTTTTGTTAATCAGTAATATTATTCATTTGTCGATCATTACAATTCATTTGTCGATCGTTAATATTTATTTGTCGATCATTACTATTTTATGTGTTGGTTTGTCCATTTGTACTTTTTTCCCCATCTTCAATACTATTCGATCATTATCCACTATATGCCCCCTAATATTTATGATCAAATAGGGTTTAAGACCTGTCACAAAACCCGCTGCAAGAAACATAAAAGAACACCGATAAAGGTGTAAAGTTAAGCCTCTGCAAAAAGAATCTATTGAACAGAGAGAGATAACAATATTTTATTAATATTGTTCATTTGAAAAATAAATAATGTAATTTTTGCGTATCAATGCGTCACGACCCTAAATACAGTCATGACATGGATGTAATTTAAGTTGAGTTATAATATACACTTGAAGTATAAAGTTTCAGAAAATGATAAAAACAAAGAGGGTTGAGTGCTACAATGATCAAGATTGCTTTGAGAAGTATTAATTTTCAAGACTAGGTCGATTGAAAAGTGTCGCAACGCCTATGCACCTTTCTAGCTAACTTATAGTTGTATGCAAAGAGAATAGAATATATATTAGAGTGGAATTTACTAGAAAAAATTGTAAAACGGCCATTTTGTTGTACTGTTTCCATCTGCAGGTGTTCTTCACATATTTGTGCTATATAACCTTTTGGGCCCTGGAACATCATTTTATAGAAAATCTAAAATTAATATTAAAAGAAAACCAAATTATGAAAAAGGCTGGTTTCAACATTGACAATGATCATTTCACATAGACGTTATGCCTTTCACTTTACAAACGATGATTTTCCGTTATAACCATAAATCAAATGATGTTTTTTATTCACCTATTTCAATATATAATTTTATAAAGTTTATTTAACAGCTTTAAAAAATTCGAAATTGAAATTAGTCTAGGGAACATACTGTATTAATGTACTCTACTGCACATAATTTGTGAACATTTACATGATTTGTACACTTCGAACTCCCTTTCAGGCTGAAAGGGACTGACAATATTCATACCGAGGGATTCTTTTAATTCCTCTCTAATATATATTCTATTCTCTATGATGTCAACCCACTCATCACCCACTCATACCGAGGGATTGTCTAAATTCCACACTAATATATATTGTATTCTCTTTGGTTTTATGTAGCTCTAGATAAGTACATTTAAAAACATTGTTTTTAGTTTAAGTTTTTAGTAAGTAATTGGCAAAATTCTCATCAATTTGTTCCTTTCAAGAGATAAAACTAGAGTCTATAAAAAGAGTTATTGTAAAAAGATGTCCTCTTTTGACATATATGAATTAGTTCAAGTATTATGAGCGATGCCGTTAAAATATTTCAGGAATATGTTTTTTTAGGAATTTGTTTTTCGGAAGTTTGTTTTTCAAAAACTTGTCGTTCAGAAGTTTGTCTTTTAATTAGTGTGTATTTTGGAAGTTTGCCTTTCAGGAGTTTGTCTTCTAGAATTAAGTGTGTCTTTCAGGAGTTTGAATTTCAGGAGTTTGAATTTCAGAAGTTTGTCTTTCAGGAGTTTGTTTTTTTGGAGTTTGTATTACAGAAGTTTGTCTTTCAGAAGTTTGTATTTTAGAAGTTTGAACTTTTTAAGTGTATTTCAGGAGTTTTCATTTCAGGAGTTTGTATTTAAGAAGTTTGTATTTCAGGAGTTTGTATTTCAGGAGTTTGTATTTAAGAAGTTTGTATTTCAGGAGTTTAAATTTCAGGAGTTTGTATTTTATAAGTTTGTATTTTAGAAGTTTGTCTTTCAGGAGTTTGCCTATCATGAGTCATTCAGAAGTTGCTCTTTCAGGAGTTGTTTTTCAGAAGTTTGTTTTTCAGAAGTTTGAATTTCAGAAGTTTGAATTTTAGAAATTTGTATTTCAGGAGTTTGTCTTTTATAAGTTTGTCTTTCAGGAGTTTGTCTTTCAAAAGTTTTTATTCCAGGAGTTTAAATTTCAGGAGTTTGTTTTTCAGCAGTTTGTCTTTCAGCAGTTTGTCTTTCAGCAGTTTTTGTTTCAGGAGTTTGTCTTTTATAAGTTAGTCTTTCGGGGGTTTGTCTTTCATGAGTTTGACTTTTATAAGTTTGTCTTTCAGAAGTTTGTCATTCAAAAGTTTGTCTTTCAGAAGTTTGTCATTCAAAAGTTTGTCTTTCAGAGGTTCGTCTTTTGGAAGTTGTTCATGGCCACAAAAGTACCAAGCATTGTAAGGATTTTCGGGCGCTGTGCGCCTATCTTCTATTTCAACTTTTAATTGTGGCGATATCTGTGAGCATTTACTTATTGTACACTATAAAAAAATAACAAACAAAAATTTGCGAATTTAATAATATTTCCTGCGTATTTTCAAACTTTTACAAAAATCAAAACTTTTTTACTCAAATTTTTGTAATGTTGAGCATCCATAAACCTTCCTTGGGGTCATGTAAAGTCCCACACAAAATTTGTGCCCGATCGGTTCAGCCGTTTTGACGTTCATTGGATAAAAACAGACACCCAGAAAAGCAAAGTTTATATGCATATGCATATGTAGATACATATCTTGCCCATTTCACTGCCCAAAGGCCGTGTTGCATTCTTTTGGGCACGCTTGACGCTTGTCAAATGAAACGTAATTATATGTCAGCCTAAATATAACTGCATTTGCAATGCACTAAAGCTACGAAAGAATAGATTTATATTTTGTGGGATGAATTTGAACCAGAGCTTAGCTCGTTAACTTTCAATTCAAATATTAAATTCGTCTCAAAATATCTCAGTAAAATTGATCACAGAGCCCAAAACTTAACACAGGGTATCGTTCTGAAAACCAGTTTTAAAACCCGGGTTACGCGAATGGGGTTAGGCAGTTTTGTGAATATCAATATTTTTGTAATGAAATATTTTTTTAAGTTTGTTTATATTCTCCATTTTTTTCGAATCTCTTAAATCAAAATCTACTCAATGTGGAGACCCCAAAAAGAAATTCAATGATACTCTTTTAAATTTCGGGCTCATGACAAAAAACGCCGGCGCAGTATGGAATAACATGTCAGGTAAAACAAACATATCTTTGTTTACAAAATAATGTACTGCAGTTTCTAGGAGGTTTATAAATAAAACTCTGCGTAAAAGTAGCACAAAGTTTGTTAATATTCCTCCCACAAACTGCAGTACACTTTTTATGCAAACAAAGATATGAACTGCACGCCACGTGTTCTTTGCAAAGATAATATATATAGGCAGGTATAAATTTTGAGGTCTTGAGAAAAAGTGCGATCAGCACCATCTCTGTCGTACGCATAGCATTTTATCCTCTGGATTGTTGCTAATTTATCACTTTGTTTATGCGTGATAACATTAAATGCGTACTATAGTATCAACAATGTATACTGCATATTGTACTTAAAGAAACAAATTAATCAATGCAAATAAAACTGAGGTAGGAATTTGACTAGACAAAGTTAAAATGTGCAAGTTGTACTGAATGGCATATGTAAATTAACGCAATTTAAATAAAAATCATGACTATAAAAGTACATCGAGTCTAGGACAAATTACAACTGATCTGATCATAACATAAACAAAACGCGTACTGTATGTTTGTGTTACCTTGAAATTTAATTTTATTGGTCAAACAGGTCCAGATAGCAACACTTGAACTATACAGGATGCAATACGCGTACTATATGTGTAATAACACAAATGCGTATTTCCTACAGATGGCAGCAGGGGAGAAAGGAATATAGAAAGTAATCAATTTGCTATAGATGTCTCTCCTTGCACTTTATCTCAGAGGTTCAAAAATTAGTTGTCTGCTACAAGCAATTTAGGAATCTCAGTTAAAAATCTACAAAAATAAAGTAACATTTTTATAAACTTTGTTATTTAAAACATTAAACCCAATATAAAAATATTTGGCTTTTAGGCGTCCATTGTCTACAACTGACAATGTTATCTTTCAACAACGGTTTTTTCATTGTATACATTAAACAGAAATGTTGCTGATTCTTCTGGTTAAATTGGTGGATTTTCAAAAATCGTTAAAGAAAACTTGTAAATACGAAAAATCTACATTTCATTGATGTTTATTTGGTTTAATGTAAAGGGTTACAGGCTTTTAAACCATGGAACCATGTTAGTTAGTTAGTAGTAGCAAAAACTTGATTTCTTTCTCCATATTTTAGTTTTTTACTTATGTTAACCAAATTAATGTCCTGTATTAAACAGCTGTGTCATAAAATTGAAACTAATAGAAAGAATAACCAAATTAATGTCCTATATAAAACAGCTTTTTATAAAATTGAAACTAATAGAAAGAATAACCAAATTAATGTCCTATATAAAACAGCTTTTTATAAAATTGAAACTAATAGAAAGAATAACCAAATTAATGTCCTATATAAAACAGCTTTTTATAAAATTGAAGCTAAATAGAAAGAATAACCAAATTAATGTCCTATATAAAACAGCTTTTTATAAAATTGAAGCTAAATAGAAAGAATAACCAAATCAATGTCCTATATAAAACAGCTTTTTATAAAATTGAAGCTAAATAGA